AAAAAAAAATAAAAAATTAATTGTACATATGTACATATGTACGTAATACAAATGGGCAAAATTAAAGTTCGACTAATGGTTGCTTTAACGAAAGGGTGTTATAATGTATCGTAAAACAAAGAACAAAATTGTACTTACAATTAGCGTAATTACGTTGTGACGGGTCACATGACAAACCTTTTGAATTTTCAAATTCAAATCCAGGTCAATTAGGATAAAATAAAAAAAATGGATATGTAACTTACGTTGACGATGAGTTGTTGATATGCCGCGATACTGTTTTCTCATGGTTCTACGACGTCGGTGCATGTTGAATCGATGCCCTCGACGAAGATCTGGAATTTAATGAGAGAAGGAAAGATTCAATAGACATGTATGAAGAAGCGGAAACTTGGACAAGTCGCGTGATGTTTTGCAGGAGCATGCTAAACTGTGTGAATGCATTAGAGGGACACATACCGCCAGCAGAGAGTGCAGCCCTGATGGTGGCCGAGGAGAAGCCACATCCTGATTCATGTAAGGCTTAATAACCTCACCAAAATCGCCCACAGTCATTTACCACCATTGTCATTACCCGTCTTTGTATCAACAAACAATTCTTTCAACTTGTATTCGAATATTAAACATCGCGTGCTTCATTAAAACAACATGTTCTTTCATTTCAACGAAACTTTTGTCTCGCATATATTACAAAAAATATGTCCTGGAATTTCTAACGTTTAGAGAAAGGGACAATAATTTGTATAATTGTATGTAAACGAAGTAGATAATATTTGTTTATTTTAAAATGATATTAAGCCTCGTGGATTAAAGAATTGTTTGTCACTTGTCGCTTATTACATCTTACCCATCATTGTGCATGTCATAATGCCATCTATGTATGTTTGTAAATTTTGTTTATTTGTAGTTTCATTGTGATACATTCCTTTTTAAATTTATTTGCGACTATTATTTTTCTGCTTTCAGTATGATTCAAAAGTGCAGAGGAATCTAAGCGCTGATTCTATGAAAAATCAAAATTACATTGATGCTTCGCTACTACAAGACATACAAGTGGTCCTAGCAGAGAACAATATCACACTACCCATATTCTCGTGTTGACAATAGCAAATATTAGGAGAGTGCAATTGAACATAATCACATTATAAATGACAAGGAGCCACTTAACCATGATACTATTGGTTCATTAAAGTGTACTATAACTAAGACATTAGAAATCTAAAGTTTATGTTATACATTGATATTCCTCTAAGTGTTCATTATCTGATTATTTGTTTCTATCATTTGGTTTCTGACTTCCTCGTTTGCCTTTCATTGTTCAATGGTAAGGAATTCAGTAGAAGTTTCCTTCTATCTTATAATTTGAAAACAAACTACTTCTCAAATTCACTTTTAATAGAATTTATCATTATCTAACACTTTTTTTGTAGGAAGAAGTTGGAACTGTAATATCATTAATGAGACACATTAATTATTCTCAAACTTGTTTTCACCTTAAATAACTGTCTGCATTTCATGCATTGGTCATAGCTTTATTGTGGCTTTCCACAACTCACAGTGCTTCAGCAAAACACTCACACCACACAGTCGAATAAAAGTTGAATATAGTTGAAGCATTTTTTTGTTTCCATATAGAGCTTATATTTCTGACAACATCATAAGATATGAAAAGAAACATGATAGTAATTGTAATTAAAAAATTTTATCATAAATAGTAATAGTTACAGAATAATTTTATTATGTTTTTTTTACTGTAATTTAAGAAACTTTCAGTATTATAAGCTCTATGGTATATAATGTATATTATATCTCTTCTATCATCTGTGTGAAGTATGATAATCTGTCATCCTGTTATATATCTAACTAGTCAATTTTAAGTATTTTTATAAACGAGATTGGTAGACACATTGGCTTTACTTCTATTCTAAGAACGTATACTATGTTCTATTAACACTGGCCTTTGTAGTAGTGTACGTGGAGGTAGGCCATTTTGGATTTCACATATAATGCAAATACGGTCTCCACAGATCGATTTGTAAGTGTAAAAACATGAAAAAAAGTAAGGTGTTATATGAGTATCAAATTTAACAAGATTTCAACACAAATAATATCACATTATTATTATTTTTTATATAAAACTATAAAACCGACTTCAATACTACCACAGTTGGAGCATGAATGGTATAATGGGCATGTGCGCATGAATGTATCTTATTTTATTTAGATTAAAGGAAAATCTAAATAGTATTAATCAATCTCTTGCATTTTTATTTTAAACATTTTCTGGTCTATAAGCTTATATTCCTTGTAACATTAAACACAAGAATATACAACCAGGGACAAAAATTTCTCAGTTCGTCAATCTATCTCAAATAAATAATAAATGTTCTTACAATAGTAAAATGTTTTACATAAATAAAACTATTTTTATGAATACAATACTATTTAACAGGGTCATTTCGTTTATCTACTAAACTCACAACAATATTTATAAGCACACATTTGTATGTAAATATCAAAGAATTATTATAATTTTCGTATTTTCAGGTATTTCTTTAAAAACTTTTTACAATTTAAAGATTAAACTGCAAGAAGCACTAATCACGGACAATAAAATTATTTTCTACTAATTCTTTAATAATAAATTATATTTGTATTATGTTTTCAGGACAATGGTGGCAAATTATATTCATTGCATTTGCTTCTAAGAGTACAATGAGAAGATTTTCTATAGTCACATTCGTAAACTCAATGACATCTATGATATTAAAGTCAACGCACAGTGAAATATTCAGGAGGAAGATAATAATTATAATACAATAAATTCAATAACACTCACAGGCATAAAAGTATAAACTTTATACACAGATAAAATTTCTAAATGTTTATTAAGAGGTCAAAGAAAAACGTATACTTCATATTTCTAAACAAAAGAAATGGAAAAAAACATTTGTAACGTTTTTATATTTTAATTTCAGTACAACGATCATTTCATCTTGATTTTTATACAACCTACGATTACTACCAACTGATTAAAGGAGAGTAATTAACACCTGAACATATCAGTACTTCGAGGAATATATACGCTAGTAAAGCAACATCCGATACTGTCTGTAAACAATTTCTTTCTACGAGAATTGTAGAGGCTTGCTGTATGTCGTCTTTTAAATTGAAACTGATCTGGTAGATGAATGTGAAAGTAGTGTAACCGAATCGCGAGTGCTTGCGGAAAATGTACATCTGATTAATCCGGATGAACAGTTGTGTTTGCAGCTGGATCAGAGCGATCTTCCGGCGCACCCGCTCAACCGGAGAGACCACCGCCCCCGCTTCCCCCGCCACGCTTTCCGAACAGCGGTGTCTGACAATGGGAAACAGCTCTTAATATCGATAACTTAGTGATCATGAATACGTCGATCCCACTGCCGCTACTGTTCACCAGTAACAGCCTCACTTTGGAGAACCAACTGTTCGAGATCATCACGGAGAGCGGAAAGGCTTGCGCGGCCTTCTTGCGGCAAGGTTTCCGTCGAGCGATGAACGCTACCATCATCGGCTGGAATGTCACGGAGCATTATGAGAGTAACGTATCGTGCAGTTGTGCTTGAAACGAGAAGACAAAGAAGTCAACAGAAGACCACCCATTGAATGTATTTAAACGCTGATTCGATGATGAACATTTCGCACGGCTAGACTCGGTCGGTAACAAAATACGCTCGCACACGAGTTATTTTCGATGTATGAATATTCGATCCTATGATCCGAATGTTCTTCGTATTACGAATGTTGAAAGTAACTCTTTGGATGGATTAAGTGAAAATAACCATAGGGAATGGTTCTCATGGTCCGTGAGAAACTTTTTAGTGTAATTGGGAAATTTTTCGATACGATTATGGCACATTGTGCGAGCACGTCTACATTAAACGAAGGAAGAAGTTAGATCGCGGGACACCGGAAGTCCTCGAAGGGATAACATAACGAAATGTTTGCGAAAGTGATTGTGCCTAGACATTAACGTTTTGAACGGAACCCGTAAGGAGTTAGACCATGATCACCATGAGATAAAAATTGAACTTCGTGCGACATCGAAGGATATAGAACATGTAATTGCTAGATGCGACGAATCGTTTACGAAACCCCAGAGAAAGAAATGGAGAGGTGTACATCTATATTATACTTCACTTTTATATCGTTAATTTCATAGGATTTATTGCGGTTATATGAGATTTTTGTATCACTGTCGTCTTTATAACTGATTGCACTGTACTAATGATTATCTGTTGATTCGTTGATTGAGAAGTTGAAATGAATTTTACGGCTGAAGTCTGTCATACAATTAACCTTAAACGTTGAGAAATCTGGCGTCGACCAAATTTTACTCAGACTAGCTTTTCGATAACGGAATTACTAGTGACGTTAATCGCGTTAATTAACGTCCTATTAACACGGTGCCTCTTAATAGCAACATTCGCAAATCGATCAAATCATTCGATCTTGTAACGGTAATTACGAGGATATTTGTAGTACAAATGAGCGGGAAGTCAACTGTTGCTATGAAATTCAAATGGAGTGCATACGCGAAAGAACCATCTGTCGCTAGTTTCAAAATAACATGTTACTTCAACGGATTCCATTTTCCAAATTTTGTACGAATATTTGACGACTTAAAATTATAAATTAACATTCGGATAAATGAAAAGACTAACTGCAGGTTGAGTTTCGTTTGATAAATTTTAAGGATTAGTTTTACTATTATACACCTGTTCGATTGAACAACCAGATTCGATAGTACCCTGCACATTCGGAGGCATGCCTTTTCTTACTACATTATGTCGTTAACGTTTTACACCAAACTGCACGTAATTCGATGTTACGCAAGCTATTCGGGAAAATTTCCCTTATATGTTTGTATATATATGTATATACTGTATACTTCTATCATACTTACCCACGTCGTTGCATAAGCAAATGTATGATAATCCTATACTATTCGATATAGTATATCCGATTCCCTATTAAGATAGCATTACATGGGAACTGATTGTGTCGTCCATGCGATGTTTACCTCTTTCGACACTAAAACCGTTTGTACTGACGGGCATAACTCGACTGTGGCGGCCATCGACCGGAAACACTACATACTGTTCTGTAATACAGAATATAAAATTATAATTTTTAATTAGACAAAAATTAGCGCGTTATTTAAATTGGTTTTAAGCTATCCGTTTGCCTGCACGTACTATCAATTGGAAGAGAAATAAATATATGTATATACATATACGATATACAATTCATAATAAGAAATGAACACTGCAAATTTTTAGATTGCTTAACAAACTTTTAATTTCATCCTTTTTTTCGGGGCGGAGTAGGAAATAAAATAACACCAGCCAATGCTGACAGTTGAAACTTTCGCGTTAGCTTGTATCGATTAAAATTAAACACTCCAAAATCGGTTCGCTATATTAAGTATGGCAACGTAATCGCGATACTAATATGTAGGATAGAAAGAACAAGTAAATGAATAAACGGCATGTGTGCTAAGACCACATGTGCTAACTTAACGAAAACGAAGGAAAGGAACTCTTTAATGATAAGCTGTCTAAATCATACAGAATCAGTGAGAAAGGCAATAAAACGTTATGGAACTGAAACTTATGCTAATGTAGATTTTCTTGCATTATGGGTATTATCAGAATTCTAGTCTATCGATTACTGATACTTAGACTAGATATATGAATACATACATAGCTACTAGTTTATAGTAGCACGATGTAAACAGACTAATGGTAAAGAAAATCGCAAATTTCGCTAATATCATACACGTATGTTAAACAGAGCGAACATACGCGTCTCTCTCACTCGTAATGGCTGTACAATAAACGCGGACCGAGTACTGGTAGCATATCCATTTTTTAAATCAATTGAAGTCTCGAAAACTTAACATACACCCACACCAACACGTATGTACTTACACACGATACATACGGTCGTAGTGCAAACGCTTCGACTCGTATACTATGATATGAATCCGATCAGTGAAATAAATGATTTTAATTCAATAAAGACCTGGTACCGCGTTAGAAAAGATATTTTAAAATACATACATAAATATATATAAATATATTATATATATATAAATATATTATATATATAAATATATTATATATATATAAATATATTATATATATATATAAATATATATATATCGTTTACTTTTCACATTTACAGTTACGACGTAACGAATAGATAGACATTAATCGAGGTTCGATACGCGAATACGTTATTCGTTGAAATTATCAAACCTAAACGTGATTATTCTGTTCTGGCTATTATCCTATTGAGAAAAGGCATGCTGTGATACATCTTCATTGAAAATCTCCGAGCAAACGACAACACGATCTACACTTAGACGAAGATAAGCTATAAACGATTTTTCTACCTTCGCCAGGATTAAAATTACAATTAGCGCCGTTAGATAAATATTCTAATGAAATTCAGTTATATCACATATGCGTATAAAATCAGCGAAACGACGAAAAATGTTTCTCTTGTTTTCTGAAGTCTAAAATAACCTAACGTGTAGGTGTTCGAAGTGCTTTCGAGAAACACTTTCTCCATACCAACAGAAAAAAAAGACAGATTTAATTTTACTATAATTCATTCTCACACGTAACGATATATTTAGTGAACTCGTTTCTAAAACTGTAACATTATGCATATATTAATATATACATATATAATGGTAACTCTTATGCGAGTACCTATTCCGCACACTCACCACAACTTTGATAAAGAAAATCTGTAATGATTGCATACATAGATGGAGTCAATGATATGATATTAAAATTCACCGAATATTGCAACGTTTATAGAGCCTTAAAGTAAAAGAAAACGAAAAGAAAGAGAATCAATGAACAAAAATTCGGAACAGTCCAGCAAAGTGATTACAATAACGATTTGTAAAATAAGTTCACTGCCACTCAAACGACTTGCGTTCTTTTGGGGAGCGCCGATATTCCAAATGTGAATGTGTACAGTTATGTGAAAAGTACTTATATCGTAATTATATTTACACATAATATTATTTAGAGTTATGTGAAACTAAATAGCATGTAATAATATTTAAGAATGGTATACAGACGTAGGGTACAGATTAAAAAAAAAAGAAGGAAAATCATTGATTGCAGGGCTATTATATTCCAAAAGAAGATAAGTTTATGCCTGCTCATTTGTATATTATACGTAAATCTTAGCATGAAAATAAGTGTTTCTCTGGTAAAAGATGCTAACTTCTAATTATCCTCCCTATACTTCTGTTGATAGTATTTATTTTACTGACACAGTGTACTGCATTTAATTGTTTTCAACTTAAGTTTACTTTACAATTATAATAATTTAAAAGTAATATATGAAATAAATTGAAGTAATCTTTAACCAAGAAATGTATGTATGATAATTTATATATATTTTCGTCATAATGGAAGATAATTTTTTACAAATGTACTTGAGCATTACATAACTATTTTACCCTTTTTAAAGGACTCAGATTAATTACATTATCTGGAGAAACATTTGATTAATTTCTAACATATACAATATAATTTTGAATTTGAATTTAAAAAAAGACCTATATGGACCTGTAACATTGTAACATGGTTTTATTTGCAATTGTACATATATGTAGTAATTGTTTATAATATTTTAATTACTTATGATTAATATATTTAAGCTGAACAGATAAAGTTAAGTGGGAAGATCATACATGACATCTTTTAAATCTATAAATAAAAATATTTACAAAGTAGAATGTATATGTTTTTAATTGTATAGTTACTTATAGACATAGTTTTTATTATTTAGTTTATTTATCAAAGGTACATCACATAATAAATATACAATTAAATATTCTTTATTTAAAAAAAATGTTATGTTACAAACATACTTTTGTGTAATGGATTACTAGTATAATTTATTATGGCTTACATTCTTGATGATAAGGTTCTAATGTTCGAAAATCTCTCCATGTTGGGGGTAACGCACTATGTAAATGTAAACCACAACGTTTACATGGATCACTAAATAAATTATTTAAACTATGGAACCAAGTCTGCAAAAGAATTGCATATTATCAGTTACTTAAAATAATGAGAGTGTATAAATCATAACATTTTTAGTTTAATTACCATAAATGATCGAACAGCTAATTCAGGCAAGGCTGGCGAATAAAAGTGTAACATAGCAGCATGAGCATTTTCTGTTACTTTCCTAAAAACTTTGTGCCTTGATTCTGTCCATAGATCCATAGTTTCTCCATAACCTTTCACCACTACCCATTCTATCATTAAACCTTTAAATGCTATTACACCTTTTAAAACATGTCCTAAAGTAACATGTAAAACTGCATTTGATGCAAATGGCCGAGATACAGATACAGTCATGTCATTGAAAAGTCTATCAAATGTAGCTATCATTGAATCAACTTGTCTAAAAATAAAATACAATATATACATATTATTAATGTTACAGCAATATGAATAGAATATTTAGTTTAAACTGATGAAATAATGTAACATACTGTTGAGGAACATTATGATTACTGGTTTGAACTCTGCCTCTCTTGGCTCTACTAGTATTAATGTAAGACCTTTTTAATGAATTCTGACTAAGTAATGTTTGAGCAACATTACTATATTCATGTACTTTATCAGTCCATTTGTAACTATTAACAAGAGTACTATATAGAGCCTGTCTTTCTTGTGTTGTCTCTTGACTTAAATACGCAGTATTTGCTAGATTAAAAGGTCCAGGTGGTGGATTTAAACTGCTTACAGCTTGTTCAACATCTCTAAACACGAGAAAATATTTAATATTTATAGTAGATAAAGAAACGCAAAATAAAATCTATACCTTAAATTAACACTGACGGTTGTTAAGAGTTCTTGTAATTCAAGTAAATATTTGTTTTCTTTATTTTCTTCTCCATGGTCAGCTCGTAAACCATTTCCAAGAGAATCAAAAACTTGACCAACACTAGAACGTAATACTTTAATTGCAGTCAAAGCAGTTTGCAGTTGCTCCATTTTTACAATCCTTTAACTTTAATCATAATAGGCCAAGCATTCTTCACATAATACAACTTCGATGAAACAGAGTAATTATACAGTTGAACACTAAAAGTACTGTACGGTATAACCTCTAAAGTATGTAAACATACATTTTCTTGGACTTAGTATACAAAGTAAAATTGTATTAATTAATTTTTTTATTTTTCTGTATATTTATGTATGAAACTGTGAAGTTTTTTTATAAACATTATGAAATTTTCTATTTCACTATTAACAGAATTTTATACATCACAATACCAGAAAACTAAAGAAAACTAAATACACGATCTCCAAGTAGCATCACTGTGAATGTAGCCCTAAGGATAATCCCAATATCTAGTATTTATAGTTATATTAGGAATGAAATTTCAAGAAACTTAAAGATTATTCTATATTGAATTTTATAATTTTTTACATTTGTTATTAAAGGTTGTAATAAAATTAGAATATGATAAAGTGAAAATAAAGAAAAGAGGAGTTTATATTATGATTTTACTAGTTTCACACGCCTTACTCGTAAAAGACTTTATTACCAGTGATTAGTATTTTCTGTATAAGAATAACAGTTGTAGAAAAATTTGTGAAATATAAAGAATGAAATTAAGTTTTTGAAAATTATATATATATATCTTATTTATGAAAACATATTTTTCAAATATAATCTCTTTCTTTTTTTTATCTATGAACTGCTAAGTGGATATCTATGTTCATCTGTAAAATACCGGCAACATTGTTTAAATATTAATTCTCTAACCTGGAGATCCCAGCATCAGAGGTCCCACAAAAGTTTCATGTTTATAAGACTATTTTGTGTCACCATTCTTTACACTCAATTTTTATGACAGTACGTGGGGAGTATGAAGTAACCGCCTTCTGGTTGAGGCAGTTTACGATTCATCGCGTCATATATGGTCACATGCATAATTGTGCATGCGTGTGGTATGATCACAAAATATTGCATTAAACATTGTTCGATGTTACAAACATCTTATTTCACTCGTTTACTTCTCAATGTCTAGTTAGAACAAGACATTTAAGGGACTATCACTGTCTATGTAGTCTAATTAAAGTTATGTAGTTTTTGTGTCAGAGTCGCTTCCGCGGAAATATGGTTATATTTAGTATATGACGACCAGTGTTGTGGAGCACGGAACACTGCCACTCCCCCGTTACAGTATTTGTACATCTTCCTTATTTTATTTGGTAATTCTGAAAAAATGGAAGATATTTTTCAATGGTGCCGCGAAGGAAATGCTATGCAAGTGCGTGTTTGGCTAGATGACACTGAACATGACATGAATCAAGGGTAAGTAAAAGAAAACTTCTTATTCGAAGTAAAGTTATTTAATCTAGCATTTTAAGTGTTATCTACTTTTTCGATAAATGTTGGTAGTTTTGTTTATTCTATCTTTACCATTATATTAGTCCTTCCTTATTACTTTCGATTTGATTATTTATTATGTTTATCATTTACTTAGTTGTAAACACAGAACAGTTTTTACTCCTTTATTATATTCTTAAGCCTGATACATTTGTTTCTTAGTATAATTGATTCTATTTCATATATTACAATTAGTTTTAATAATAGTTCTGCTTTACTTATACCTGCATATTTCATACATAGCGATGATCATGGATTTAGTCCACTTCATTGGTGTTGTAAAGAAGGACACTTAAAATTGGCAGAATTACTGGTTACTAGAGGAGCACGAATTAATGCTACCAATAGAGGAGATGATACCCCTCTTCACCTTGCTTCAGCTCATGGACACAAGGAAATAGTTCAACTGGTAAAAGATATGCAATTGATAATGCTTTTCGAAATGATTTAAATTCTATTTGTAATTATAAAAAACTTGTAAAATATGAGAAGCTTAAATGGTTTTAAATTTTTAGTTGCTTAGAAATCGAGCGGATGTAAATGTTACAAATGAACATGGGAACACTGCCCTTCATTATGCATGTTTTTGGGGTGATCAAGCTGTCGCTGAAGAATTAGTGGCAGCAGGTGCTCTTGTATCCATTGCAAATAAAGATGGTGATACTCCTTTGGATAAGGCAAGAGGTTTACTTGCTAAACGATTACATGGTATTTAACAAATGAATAAGAAGTTATTATTGATTATTACTGTTAATCATTTATTGCTATTAAATGGTTTTTTAGATTTAGCTGTAGAGTATGGGCAGGACTTGAAAAAAATTCAGTTTAAGGATCAAAGTTGGTTAGGATTGAAAACTAGAAGTCGTAAGGAACTTTATATTATATAAATTATTGAGTGTTGAATACGATGATATAAACATAATTTTAATTATTCTATATAGGGGATGCAACATTATCGAGGCATAAAGGAATTAATATGGCAGATTTAACATTGCACACACTTCTCGCAAGTACTCCAAGTGGTGAGACTTGGCGAGGACGTTGGCAAAATAATGACATAGTAGCCAAAATCTTGACTATACGTGAATGTACATCGAGGATTTCCAGAGATTTCAATGAAGAGTTTCCCAAGTTAAGAATCTTTTCACATCCGAACGTTTTACCTGTTCTTGGTTGTGTTAATCAGCCACCACAATTAGCAACTGTTTCACAGTATATGGCTCGTGGTAGTTTGCACCGATTATTACATGGAGGTACAGGTGTAGTTGTTGACACTGCACGAGCATTGAGACTTGCTCTTGATGTTGCAAGAGCTATGGCATTTCTCCATGGACTTGAGAGACAAAACAGATGCAGATTTCATTTGAACAGTAAACATATTATGGTACCTTTTCTTTTTAAATTATGTGTCAATGAATTCATTCCTTATATTAATATGAGTTTTTCATTATGTTTACAACGAATGAATCTGATACAGATTGATGAAGATTTGACGGCGCGTGTAAATATGGCCGATGCAAAATTCTCATTTCAAGAAGTTGGGCGAATTTATGAACCAGCGTGGATGTCGCCGGAAGCACTGAGTAAGCGTCCAGCAGATATAAATCTAGAAGCTAGCGATATGTGGAGTTTTGCTGTTTTACTGTGGGAACTTGCAACTAGAGAAGTCCCGTTTGCTGATCTTTCTCCAATGGAATGTGGGATGAAGGTTCGTTCAATAAGCTTACAGCAAATTTGATATAAATTTTGCAAATTTTATATATAATATTATTGTATATTTATTATAGATTGCATTGGAAGATTTGCGCGTTAGTATACCACCGGGAATCTCGCCTCACCTTGCTAAACTTATTAGGATTTGTATGAATGAAGATCCAGGAAAACGTCCGTCTTTTGATATGGTTGTTCCGATACTCGATAAAATGAAACGTTAGTTTTCAGTGCAATATTTTGTCATCTGGTTTTATTTGAAACATGATCTACAAGAAACATGTCATTCCTGAACAAAAATAATGGACGTAATTAGAGAAAATTACTTAAATGCTAAAACATCCAATACAGTGCCTCTATTAAAATAACGGAATTATATTTTTTATACAACAATTTATAAAGCGATGTTTTGAGAAATTTTAACGATATTGTATTATATACATTGTTATGTAATGTTTATAATGTATATGTAACTATATTGATTATATTTATGTTTTGTAAAAGAATATTAACTTTGTTTTTTGAAAGTAATACAGCCAATTATTTCAAGTGCTGAATCTTCTTTCAATGATGTACATACTCGATTTTATTTTGCCTATGGCTTTTTAATTTTGTAACACTTTTATGCTGCATTTTATTATACCTTAAAATTAAATGCCAAATAAATACATAAAAATAATTTGACTAAACATTTTCAAGATTATTTACAATTATATAATGAAGTTAACAAGTAAAAGCCAGATGCAATAATGACGAAATGTTGGGAAAATATTCCTATTTGTAAAATACTATTTTCAAAATCCTATTCTTAAAATCCCATTTTAAAAATATTCCTAATATACTTACAAAACTTTGATTTAAGGTAATATATCTACTAATTTCTTATTGCATATTAAATACGTTTAGCACTATTAGCAACACATAATACATAAAAATGACAAAATATTTATTAAGTCTACATTTTCTTAAAATAGAATTTTTCATATTTCAAGGTGTTAAAATTCTGGTATTGACTATAATATTAAATTATTCTTATTAAACATCAAGCAAATATTTTCTTCTGCAAACAGCCTTTTGTGTTGAAACTAGATGTTTCAGATTCAACTTAGAGAATATTAAAAAGAAAAGTAATTTTTTAGCAAAAGGTAATTGCTATTGACGAGTAGTTATTATGAAATATTATTAATTTTTATATTTTTGAAACGTTTATTTGTTTGAATATTGTGATCTTATGTTCTAGGACCTGCAATTACCTGATCCTGTACCAATCATGGACAGGTACAAAGTACAAAAAAAGAGTATATGTAAACGCTTTAACAACATCCATATTTTATCGTTATCAGTTATAGATAATAGAACGAATATTTACATAAATAATTGTTGTCTATTATAAATAGAGTATTTAACTTACTCCTTCGTCTAAAGTAAAAAAGACTGTGAAAAGAGTGAAAATCCAGTAAAGTTGAGTTGATGAATAATGAATCTAAATAGAATGATTTTTTAATTTCGAAAATTACTTATTTTCGGTTCCTGAATATTAGCGGTTCCTGAAAATTTCCATTACGGTAAGATACCTATTTGGACTAATATTAGACTTTGTATGCGAAGTATTAACGGGGAATTATCATCTTAAGGTATTTCAGAAGTTCCAAAAATTTGCGGAATCTTGGGTAGATACACCATATTTTAGCGATCTGAAGGAAAGAAGCGCTTTCTTCTACTTGTTTTGTCGGATACATTGAATTTTCAAGAAAATAAGCTTCTTTTAGAATCTATACATCGCAAAAGTGGGCCATCGATATTTGTAGATCGAGGTTATCGATACTTGGAACATCATTCAGAATTATTGATACGTCTAATTGTAAGTATCTTCTGATTCACGATATATCCGATTACCTTCAGAACTTCTGTTTCTTCTAAAATCCTTCTAAAATGTCTCATCATGAGCAAATTGAAAGAATGTTTAAACATCACTTGTCTTATAAAATTCGCGGACAGTTGAATATTTATAATAGAATAATCATATTTACATTATGTAAGTAGTCACTTAAAAGATTTCCATATGTGATCAGTACGTCATACATATTACGTTTTGAGCTGTATCAAGAGCTGCTAAGCGGTCTGTGAAGGTACCAACCAAACTTTAATTAAAAAGTGTCTATCATCATCTGTAAATAATTTATAAAGTCATTTATAATAAATGACGACTAATTTTATTTTATCAGATTAAGATAGATGATAAGGAGTTTCTGTATAAGATTAAAAGATTCGATACAGTTAATTTTTATTTAGAATATGACCATTGGCCGTTTTATCTACAATAAGTGTTCAAAATGTACAAATATAATTATAATTGTTTTTCATATTGGTTATACTCAAACATATACTGTATTCATACTGCTGATTAGATTCAGAAACCTTTTACGTGATTCGATTTCGAAGCATAAAATAACTATATAAGTCTGAAAACGTATTCAATTCACATTTAAATTTTATAGAGCAATACCTCGGTTTTCAATGCCCGCAACACGGATGTTGGTGTAAACCGAGGCCTCTTATCTTTGAAACCGAAACTTGTCTTAAATTTGTGATATCAGACAGTTTTTACGCGATAAAACGGTTAACATGATTCTGGTACGAAAGCAATTCGCCTTGTATGCTCAATCTTTCTGCAAAGTTCGTTGGAGTGTTGCCAGCTTGGTGAGAGTCGGGTCAACAATGTACAATCCTATAGTTATAGTAAAGCAAGGTAAATTACGAGGTGCTGTAGAGAAAAGTGTTCTTGGCACTTCCTTCATCGCGTTTCATGAGATACCTTTCGCTGCTCCCCCAATCGGTGAACTCAGATTTAAGGTAATAGACTTGCTAAATTGATTTCACATGTACACTGAAAACACACGCATAGTTTCTAGCCGGATCGAATTAATTATTAATCATCGCATATGTAATAAAGTGCTTAGTCATTAAATGCTTTTTCTTTCTCGACACGCGAAACAGTATTAAAAGTCCGATTAATTTTTGTACCGGTTACGACACTGGTTTGATTTTAATTTATACGTTTGTTAAACGCTTCCTTTCTGCTTAACAAATAGGACCCCCAACCACCAGCGCCATGGACGGACGTCAAAGATGTCAGCAAACCTGTCGGGAAACGTTCCCTGCAATTGCAAGAACTGAACCCGCAAAACGTGATCGGCACGGAGGACTGTCTTTATCTTAATGTTTACACTGCGTCTCTCGACCAGTGTAAACCGGTCATGTTCTGGATTCATGGCGGAGGATACCTATCGGGGACAGGAAGCTTCGAGGAGAAGCGGCCCGATTATTTATTAACGAAAGACGTCGTGGTCGTTTCGGTTAATTATAGACTGGGCGCTTTCGGTTAGCACCTTGAACATGCCTATTTCGCTTTTAAAGATGTCTTCACTGCATTATAATTGAACATTTGCATAGAATTAAATAAGTAAGATTCTCGCCTTAAAAGCTATCATAGATAAGATTTATAATATTCAAATTTTGATATTCAAGTTTCGATATCATTAAAAAAATGTGATAAATTTTTTAAGTATTTATTTAGTCTGTCAATGCCAGGTTTTCAATGCTTTTTTTAAATATTAACATATTTCCCTTTAACGATAGCTTTGAAGGATTAAACGAATGGACGTTTGAACGGATCGAAGTAAATTGATGTAAACTGGGATGTTAAAGGTTTCTTAAATTTGGGTCACAAGGCGGCGCCGGGCAACCAGGGACTAAAAGATTTGATTGCTGCTCTGGAGTGGGTCAAGGAAAATATTTCCAACTTCGGAGGTGACCCTAACAATGTCACAGCTTTCGGCGCGAGCGCCGGAGGTGTCCTGACGCATGCGTTGGCTGTATCGCCGCGCGCGAAAGGTGATAAATGCCATTTCTAATTAATAAGATCACCGTCCAATTTTAATTAGCAAGAATCGATAAACAACGGTCATCATGATTCGATAAGAGCCTTCAAAATTTGTGTTGTCATTGTTTTTAGGACTGATCCACAAGGCGATTATGCAAAGTGGATTGCTGTCGTGTCCATGGAACGCAGGACAAAGTCGACCGGAACGTGGTTTTAAACTTGCTAACGCCCTCGGGACAGATTCTACCGATCCTGAAGAAGTTGTTAGATATCTTCGCACTGTCGACGCGGCGGATATCGTGAACGCTACTAAAAACATTCTTACGAAAGAGGCAAATAACATTTCTCTATTTAAACTTACAAGGAAAGGTATCGAACCTGGAAATTTAAAAAATTATGAAACTGCGTGTTAGTAGAGTAAGTCAAGCCCATAATACATTGCAATTTTTATTTTGTGCCGTAATTCACTGTGAAGGGGTGAAAAAAATGAACATTTTTCTTTCCCGTGGATTATCTTGAAAATGGTAAGAAATAATCCCAGAAAAATTAAACAAAAAATACAATATTCATTCGCTATCTTTTATCGTTTTCAAAATGATCCATAAGAAGGAAAAATTTTCATTGCTTTTAATGGGTGGTTCCACCCCTTCAAAGTGAAATTCGGTACAAAAAAGAATTTCAATGTATTAGGCTTGACTTACTCTACTTACATACAAAGTTTCATAATTTTTTGAATTTCCGAGTATGATACTTTTCCTTGTTAGTCGTCGATTTCTGAGCGTTCTATAATAGAGTAGAATCTTTGTGTAAACAAATTCGAATGCCTAAACAGTTCACATAATTGAATTTTGAACCCTTTGCGGACGTATGTCGACGTTTCGGCGAGATGAAGTGTTCATATTTGAAGGACAAAGTCGCAAACAAACGATTTAATTACTCGAACAGCAAGAGGTCAGCGTGTAGTTTCCTTTTTTCCTATTGCTTAAACAATTGATATATAATTTAACTTCATCTGATGAAGGTTTTGTATATTTCAAAGATTCTTCGTTCGCTTAATTCTCTTTTGCATTTGCAGTTAAGCTATATAGGCGCTTAGTCAAATTCATGATTTTATAGGCAGTTCTACTGGATCTAGAAATTAATCCAATGTCTTTTTAAAGTTAATTTACTAAAATATTTTTAATTCAAAATGAATTTGTAATTGATGAATGTATCTAGTAACTGGGACAAACTATGATTTTGTTTCTGTTGAAGTTAGAGAAATATTGTAACGGCAAGATTCGCACTATTTGACAGGCTCTATGATATTGCAATAACAGTTCTGCAAAGCGTACTTTCTTAAACTAGTCTGTACTCAATATTTGTCGAGATATTTCACATTGAATATTCACTGCAGTCATACTGTTAGTAAACCATATAGTAAGCTAGTGATTACAATATGACAAACTGACAATAAAAAGAAGTAAAGTTGCACTTTGCGACTGTACTAACGCATTCATGGAAAATCTGGTATTGCACTATTATAGAGTATATTAAATAGAATTAAAGACTTTCTTCACCAAAAATGTATTCCATACGTATAGAGGCTTAAGAAAAGTATTCATAAATATAGAAGTTAGTCAAGTTAGTGAACGGTAGAATATATGACTACATATACTAATATCAGAATTCATTGTAAGTAGAAACAGTTCGCAAAGGACAGACTCACCAATGTCTGATATTCATACATGAACTGAAATACGCTGAAAAGATCTTCGAATTAGGCTGTATTCTTTATATTTTAGCAATTAACTTAATACAATGATTGTATCATTTTTTAGGAAGACAGTATATTCTCTCTTCCGTTTTCATTGAACACTGATGACGTAGCTGACAACCCTGTCCTACCATTGCCTATGGAACAAATGATGGAAAAAGATATTTGTATTCCTGTGATAGTAGGGTACACGTCGCATGAGTTCATTATGTTCCTTAAAGGTGATTTTCGATCAACTACATTCTACCGACTGTTCGTATTCGTAATATCCATGTAATTAATTTGTTTTCTGTCAGACAATTCCGACAAGACAATGATGCATTTTAATAGCATTCTACCACAGTATGTGAAACTGTTAGCAAAATTAAAGAAGCTAGAGCCCGAAAAGATTGAAATGTTATTGGAAACTGTTAGAGATCGGTATTTGGATAAGGAACCGATCAGTGCACAGAATTTGGAGAAATTCTCAGACTTCATAACTGATTTATATTTTGGAATACCTGTGAAAATGTATTTAGAAGATCGAGTGAAAAGGACGTCAACGCCTAGTTATTGTTACGTATACTCGTATGTCGGCACTCAGAAAACACACACGGATATCTTAGTAAACCGTGTTATAAAAGGTAATTGTGTTCTTTAAGGAATCACCTTAATTGATTAAGTAATTCGTTTGATTATGGAATAATAGAGAATGATTAGTATTACTATGGTGAATTGTTGTGCGAATGTTTGAAACTTCCTACATTTAATACTTTCATCATTCGAATTATTTGTTTTGTATGATCGTGGGTTAAGAAGGATAATTAGACGAATATTTTAGGTGCGTCTCACGTCGACGAATTGGCGTATCTGTTTTACTTGAAATCTATTAAGGTTGACGATCCGGAGCCACCAGCAATAGGAACGAAAGATAGATTAACGATAGAACGTTTGACTAGTTTGTGGACCAATTTTGGCAGAACGGGGTAAGTTATGTATCTGTGACTTACCGAGTACCTGATGTTTATTATTAGTTTCAATATTATACGATAAATATTTTTCGTATAGGAATCCTACGCCGTGTCTCGATGAAAATATTAAAGTCCTTTGGGAGCCTGCGACGGAGGATCAATTCAAGTATCTTGACATCGGCGAAGAACTTCAATTATTATGTATAGAACCACACATTTTTAACTGCAGTTAAATATTTTCATTCACTGTAAAGTATTATGACACATTAGGGATTAAAGTGTAACGATTTCATTACATTGTTAAAGTAATTAAAACGTGTCAAATTTGAAGCGCGACGTACAATCTGTTTTAATGTATTGCACTTGTACAATGTCATTGTACATATAATACTTCGTGCATTATTTACAATAAGACCAATATTATTTTGTATGGAACAAAAAAGAAACTGTGGAAAATGATAATGTAGGAAAGGAGCTGAACTAATTTTGTATTGAAGTAGGATTTTAGTAGCACAATTTTGTACTGAAGTTTCTTAAGGAACTACAGAAAAATGATTGTCTTTACTTATTTTGTGGACGTTGAAAATTTGTATAATCTGTGATTGTAATGTTATCGTTTTTCTAATAACAGGTTATCATTTAATAATGAATATTAACAATGAAAAATAAATGTACTGGCTATTATTAAACAGAAAATAAACGTTACTGTTTGTATTCGAAATAAATCAATGACTACAGCTTTGAGGAAACAAAAAATCCTAAAAAAGTGAGATAATATTTAAATTTAAAGTTATTTCATTATCGTAAAATGGGCCACTGAATTTTTACGTAATATACCAATTAGTGGTTACGTAAAAGGTGAATGACTAGAAATTTAATTATGAAAAAGACTGGTGTCGCCGATTGGATGATGAATTGTTCATATGAATAGGTAAAAATGTATAAGGCAGACTTGACGCATGACGATTGGAGATGAAATGCCTTTCATTCCTCGTCATGTATCTTGAAAATGAAAATCAGTTTCAAAGACGATATGTCTCTGTCTCTAAGTCTTTTCCATTGAGAAATTATATAATGAATCTGACGAAATCTTTTGATAGCGTAAATTTGTCATGATAAGTAAGTACGCACTGTGACATGAATAGAATTTTATCAATGTACCTAATCTAAGATACAAAAAAATTGAACCCTTAGTTTGGAAACAGATATTTACATTTCGTTTGACAGATAAGATCATTATAAACGAATGTCGGGGATGCTAGAAAAGCTATTGGATTCGAACATCGCGACTGTTACAAGATAAATTTTAAAAATGTCTATAAATAATCATTACAAAAGAATAACACGTTTTCGATTACCGGTAATCATTGTTTATAAGGGGCATCACATTTTGGGTATCAAACATCAATGTGAATACTCAAAAAGTTTCATTTTGTTTAACGATTATCATTACTGACGGGGCAAAAAGTTCATTTGGTTGCATTCGATTATTGTTAATCATTGTCTCCATGATAGATAATTAGTGTTTACTGTCAATATAACAAAAATAAATTGCAGCTTATACATTTTATTAAGCGAAAAGATAACATTGACAGATACGTGGAAGAAAAAATGGAGTAAAAGAGATATTAATTCATATACTTATACAGCAAAAAAACTGTACAAATTATTTATACATTCGTATCATTAATTAAGATAGTTACATGCAATATCGTATATTGTTTCTCGTTCCAGTAGATTAATAATTCCGGGTCGACATTGATACGGCTTTTTTCCTTGTAGTTTTTGTTTTCGTTTTTTCGTCGAAAGATTCTTATTAGACATTCGATTCTCATCTCCCTTACTATTTCCCTTGAAAGACACAAAGTAACGCTATTTAAAAAAGTAACTGTATTTATCAGTAGAACTGAATAATAGTGAGTTGATAGAAAATAGAGAAATGCAATCAGAAAAAAGAAAGTTTGTCTTCGATATTGTTAAACGGTAAGAAAACAAATTTTTCACGGTTGATAATGATTACCGTTAATCAAAAGAAACTTCGAGTCATTGATGATAATTACCAGTAGTCAAATAATATTTTAATCATTCGTGAACAAAATAAATAAATTCTCTTTAGTAAAAAACATTACAAATAACTTATTTAGGTTCTATAGTTGATACATGTTCATTAGGAGTTGCTAGATGTCAAGCCAATGTCGTTTGATGTAGTCACCGATGATATAAATCATGTTTTAGAGGTGCATATCAAATAAGAACAACAAGAATAAATAAGTTGTCTGATTACTTGACAGTGAAAGATGCCGTTGTTACTGTGGGCTAATTATAGACTCAGAGTAATTTTCGGTTAGTTCCGCGATCATGTCTGCTTATCACTCACGGTATTTAATATATGTTTCGACTATACTTTCATCATAGATTTACCTAAAGTAAAGTAAGTAACGTACGTAAGTAAATAAAAAATGCGCAGGAATAGACTGAAGCAAAGAGGAGTAAAATAAAATAGCGAAAAACAGACTGTTCAACGTAAAAGAAAGAAATAAAGCCGAAATAAAGGAATAAATAAAGAAATGTCATCAAGACTATATTTGATAATTATAGTTTGAGGGATATCAAAATTTTAACAATCTTTTTCTATAACCTGTTCTATTAAATTATTCTATCCAATAATAGATAATTAGTTATGTAATAGCAACTAATTGTAACTCGAAGTTTTATTTTGTCAAGCTTATAATTAGCTGTCGCTGGAAATAAACAAATCATCCTGTTAAAGAGTTCACCGTAAACAGGATCATAGGTCATTAAAATTCAGGTCAACGGTTGCTCAAATGTTAAATTGATGGTAGAAGATGTCAGATCAAGCAAGGTTTATGGACTCGTCTGTGACCCTAGAATAGGTCAAGGGGAATAGTTTAAATTTCGGAGGTGACCCAGACAATGTCATTTTCGGCGAGGTCTCAGCGCATGCGTTAACCGTATCGTTGCGTGCAGAAGGCGATAAATGTCTTTGTCGATTGATAAACATATCGTCTGCGTACAATAATTAAAAATCGTCTGGCAGTGGTTTTTATCCGGGTAATCCGGATTTTCATTGTTTTTAGGTCTCTACCAGGGAGCGATTATGCAAAACGGATTACAGTATCTTAGAACTATACGAACGACATTAAATGCGCGAAAAATGAAATGTTACATTCGAAAAATAAAGTCATTTTACGTAGGAGATTTATAAATAAGACTGTAATAGTATAATGTTTATCGTTAGTAAATTATTTGATGACTCCTATTTCAGTTAATCAACATGTCCAACCTTTCGTTGCAATTGTCGCTTTAAACAGTTCTTGATACTCGTCGAACTAAATTTGTTAACGTGCTAATGAAATTAAGATCTAGCTACTGAGATGTAAGATCGTGCAATAAAAAGAGTGCTGCCACTAGAACATTCTTCCAGTGTTTAACACGAATCATACGTACTTCTTATAAAAATTGAAACAATAGATCTTTCTCCGGTTTCTTTATATATTGATCATAGTATTAAAGTGAAACTATTTATTTTTCAAGTTATTTCGGATATTTAACGATTTTCAGATATTAATAGTTGCGGAATAAGAAAACTGAAAGCTGTGATTTCGATGTGGTTGTTCTATTGTTAATTATTATATTTCTGTATTTGTGTTAACAGTAATATGAGGTATACACCTATGAAAGTGGATTAACTGGAATGATTAGTGGAATCTCGTTAGTGCAATTGTGAAGGGTATCGTATATACACTGACAAGATCATTGAACTTATTGCAAAAGGAAGTGTACGTTCCGATTAAATTGAAAAACAATCCGCTTTTTGTTTATGAGTCCGATGTATTAGTATTAGTCAGATTTATTGTAATAATTTTGTATTCATGAATGTAATTATCGGTACAAAAAGTCCTTGTAATATAAAAGTGTAATCAATGTCCGATCACCTTTGACATGCGTTGATAATTATCACTTTTGATTTTGAAAGAGACACTGGTGGGCATTGACATAAACCGGCAGTCCACGCTCGACTTTCGTACGTGTAACAGGTTGTAACATTGTTTCTCGTTCATTGTTTTGCCAAGTGACGGCACTTTGAAGGAATTCACCGTTCAAACAAACCGAGATCCATACTTCGGCTGCTCTCCGAGTCGTTCGCAACATTTCTTTTTTGAGAGGTTTACAACTTAGCCCTTCGTACTCCAGAACTGTTTCACTGCAAATACTCAACAATTTTTTAGTGAGATATACACGACATTTTGTGAAATTAACTTGACGGGAAATTGCACATAAATCAAGGAACAAAACTATTTTATTTCAATGTTTCATATACCGATACATTATACAAAGATTAATATTACTTTACAATTTTTCTGTGTGAAATCAATTGACGACCGAGAAGCGCCTTTGGAGTGCGAATATTCTAGTTTTTAATGACAGCTTCGGAAACATCTATCATTAACTTATTTACGTTCTTATAATAACGTTCATTTGATCCTTATGTCGGAAAAATACTGAGATGTATGAATAGTTAATTAACATGTTCATACATCACACTCTTCATACGTTAATCTCGTTTTACTCCTTTAAGTTCTTCACTAGACGAAGTTTTATCAACTTTTCTCGTTACTAACTTCAAAACAGTGTCTAATAAGTACTATTAAACTAATAATGAGACTAATAATAAGTAATATTTTATTACCGAGTGCCTTTTGTGAATTATAGATTAACCGAAACTTTGTGAACTTTTCCTCATTTTCAATTCAACTTGTAACCAGTGATCAGTAGCACAACTGATACCGTGATAGTGGTATTCGCAGTGTATAGACAAAGCATCTGCATATTTAGTTTTTCGGCGAGAACATTCTGTAAAAAAGTAGGACGTCCGGCTTTATATAGCGTTTGATGGACTATTAAGTTGATATATACGTTGGTTACCAATAATGGAGCCGGTAGTAACTGTGAGACAGGGAAGATTGAAGGGTTGCGTCCAGAAGAGTACCGTAGGGACCAAGTACCTAGCTTTTTTTGGGATACCTTATGCAACCCCACCTGTTGGTGACCTCAGATTTAAGGTAATTACAATTTGCACGTTTTTCAAGCATGGAATTTACTTTGAAATATCTCTTGTTGTGCACCCAATATAATCAAATAATAAAGTGTATACTAGTCAAATGCAGGCCGAATGCATTTATAATATGTTCTAACGAAAAACTAAAGCGAAACGAACAAGAGTTCCATATTTGTCCACGAAAAAGGAATAATCCATCGTTCAAAAAATTAGCACCATTTAGAGTTTCAAGATGACGCATATACTCGTCAAATGCAGTTAACTGGTTAATAGTGATTTAATTTATGTAAATTAGTGACCTTTAAGTACTCTTTCGAATGAGTTTCAAATGAAACATTATGAGTGCTCATTTTTGCATATGTTGTTAACTCGAAATAAATATTTCTTCTGGAATTTTGCTTTTGGGAAGAATTGTTCGTTTAAAAAATATGTTAACCATTCGAGTGCATAAAAAGTAAATTCTTTGAAAAAAACACGTAATTTCAACGCTATGCTCTGATTGCCTGCCATTTTTACTACGCAGAAGATGCGAGTATATTTGACATTCAAACGGTTAAAATATAAAAACGAAAATATTTAAATAAATTTTTGAGTAAATGGAATCCAGTGAAAATGTTTTGTGCGAGCATTGGATAGCTATAGAAGACATTTAGGTCAACGTGTGGAACTTATAGTGGCGTTGAGAATTCGTGTAAAGTTCAAGTTCAAGTTCAGTTCGACCCCCGCTCTTTCTTAACATTAATCGATAAGCACCGCCGCGAAATTGGTCAATCGGACTTTATAATGGGTGCATTGTTATCGCCATTTGATAAGATCTTCCAATATTTATTATTTATTTATTTATTTATTTTTTATAATTTCTTCCTTGAATATGACGTTCATCGAAAAGAAAACTATTTTCTATTTCGTTTAGAATTTTTCTTTCTTTTCGTTTAAACGTTTCTGCAGTTATAGCTCCACCTGTATCAGTAAATCTTTTTCGTAATTTCTGTAGATTGTGCCCGTACATTATTTTATATTTATTGTACATTATGTAAAAATTTATTGTACATTATTTTATTGTACATTATGTTGAAGGAATGATATTCGTGTTCTAAAAATCACAGTAATTCATTCTTCATTGAAAGTATAACGTTAGCGCTTGGTCGAGGAGTTGTACAGAAAAAGAAGTAGTGTGGCTTAAGGCTTTTTGTATTTATTTGGTTTTTCTATTTCAGCTGTTTGGCTGTCAGGTTAATGACCGCTACAATGTAAAAATTTGTTCTATATTATTTCATTGTACACAATGTAAACATTTATTATAAATTATTTTATATATACAATTCGTTTGAAACGTTCCCAAAGAAAAACGTCACAAAAAAGAGAAAAAAATATTAGATCGACACTGTACTCAAGTGCATTTAGTACACATTTTTTTAGTTGTCATATACCGCTTGATTCTTTGAAAAATTCGAACGTTTTTGCAAAAACCCATGTATTTCGGAAACTGTACGTGACCCAGCGGATTCGTACTTAGGGCAAGGAACTCTATAAGGATCACCTAGTGGATATTACAAAACAAAAATCGCGTTGAACAGTGTAATTATTCTGCGAGTGTTACATTTATCATTCTAATAGGACACAATAAATTTTTTATGAAATCTCTTTGTAACTGACAGAACCAATAGGAAATATTCATTTTGCCTGAATCTCTTCTTGTAGGATCCAAAACCGCCTGAAAGATGGCAAGGCATAAAGGACTGCATGAGACGCGGTGTAAATGTGTGTCCGCAAAGATTAGAGTTTCCGCCCTACGAAATTATTGGCAGTGAGAATTGCCTGTTTCTGAATGTTTACACAAATTCCCTTTCCTCGAAGAAGCCAGTAATGTTCTGGATCCATGGCGGTTCGTTCATTGGAGGAGCCGGAAGCTTTGCGACTTGGGGGCCTGATTACTTCATGCCAAAGAACGTCGTCGTTGTTTCACCGAATTATAGAGTGGGAGCACTTGGTTCGTTTTACTTTCATTTCGCATTTACGGTTACACTTGCAATTACATATTACACATTATTTTTAGTTATATATTAAACAATTAATCATGCAATGTGGTTAAACTCCATTCGAACAGACGGGTGAATTTTATTTAATTTAATGAAAATTCTACATTGATTTTTCATCTACTTTCGATGCGTATTTATTACAGTACTAAATTTGGGGATGCTAAGTACGTTGATGAGATTTCAGCTATGAAAATTACGTAATTTTGTGAAGGAATGAATTTTTCATTTTACCATGAGTTAAAGTTACATTCTTTTCGAATTTGTTGATCAATAATATAAAACACTGAGGCGATTCATTGGAAATTTGAATTAACGTGTTAAAGTCTTCGCTGATTTCTTGAAGGTTTCTTAAATTTGGGTCTGAAGGATGCGGCTGGCAATATGGGCTTGAAGGATTTGATTCAAGCTTTGAAATGGGTTAAAGCGAATGCCGCAACGTTCGGCGGAGACCCGAATAATATTACTGTGTTTGGGTTCAGCGCTGGTGCAGTATTGGGTCATGCCATGGCAATATCGCCGCTATCGCAAGGTTCGTTCAGTCGTAATTACACGATAAAATATAATATAATTATTTATCATTTCTCGAGGTATATCGAGTAAGCGTGTAACATCAGATTTAAGCTTAAACAAATGAAATATTGTGCTCATTAATAATTTAATTCAGTTCAAATTTCTGCCATAGGGATATTTTAAAATATTAAAAATCTTCTTCATAAAACATTAAATGACAAAACTCTTAAAGTACTAAGAAAACTATATACTAATCTTTCATTATTTAAGTGTCTATGTTATTAGCTTGCGATATTCGATTTTAGATAAGGAAAACCTTAAAGGATTAATTAATTGGAATTCTTTTATTTTCGAAGCTCTCGACGAAATTTCTTTTCAATAACATATAAATCCATTCTTTGACGTTTCATCTGTGATCTCAGGACTTTTCCACAAACTGATCTTACAAAGCGGAGGAATAACGGTCCCATGGGGTCACGACAACGATCGCAAGAGCTTCAAACTTGCGTCGATCCTCGGATTGGACACCACCAATCCAGTGAAAATATTAGAGTATATGAAAAAACTTTCCATAGCGGACATCGTTAAGGCTCAAGATTCCATCCTTTCGTGCCCGGTAAAGACATTTCTTTCTTACTTTTCGATGCACACGTATCGTAGTAAATAGCGCCAAATCGTGCTAGTGATTAGATAAAGAGAGTATTCTTACACGGATAAAGTAAAAATTAATGATGTGTGACGATTAAAAGTTGTACCTACTGGTTTTGAGTTAAGATTTCAAAGTTGATAGTCTTAGATCTCAAAATTGATAGTCATAGATCTCAAAATTGATAGTGTTAGACCTGAATATGAATCTTGGTTAGACATCAAAAAGTTCTTTTAAATTCTCAATCCAAACCGAAGTCTTAACTCCCGAAGACTATCTTATCCTGGAGACTATCAGGTCTCGAAATCGGTAATCGAGACACATCTACATTTTCTCTGAATAACGTTCTGACGATAGATGCAAACGTTTATTTCGTAGGAGGCTGGCATGTATCAAGTTTGCTTCGGACTCACCAACGACACAGCATCCGAGAATCCGACGTTCCCGTTACCGATAGAACAATTGATTCCTAACGACTCTAAAATCCCCATAATCGTAGGACACGTGTCGCACGAATTCATCATGTTATTAAAAGGTAATACATTTTTTGTTTCTGAGATTGAACAGATGCGTGTGAGGTAATAGTTGTCTACGCAACCGTAAAGATCAAGGCAACATTCGCGAGATTGAGCGGATATTTATTAAGGCAACTAATCGAGAAATTCTTTCTTGGTGTACCGTTTGTAATTAACATAAATATTTTTGTTAAATGGGAAAAAATAATGTTTATATCTTTTCTTCCCTCGCAGAGAAAACTAAACAGAGTTTCGATAGTTTCAACAAGTATCTTCCACATTATTTGGAGGCGATAGGGTCGCTTAGGAACTTAGGGCCCGAGGAAATGAAACAATTAACAGAGGCTGTGAAGAAAAGGTATTTCAAGGAGCTTCCGGCCGATCAAGATCAGTTGCAAGAAGTGTTGGAATTCGGAACTGATGCTTATTTTGTTCTTCCTTTGCGGGTATATGTGGAGGATCGACTGAAAAGAACATCGACGCCCACATACTTTTATAATTTTTCCTACTATGGCAATCAGAAAACACATACGGATTTTATATTGAAGCGATACACTGATGGTTAGTCTATTTCTGAAATTTATTACTTCAATCAACGCTTTGCATCCTGAAGAGTTTGTGGTTTTTCGCTCTAAAATTCATGTTAGTGTTACTTTGAATTTATTTATACTTTAGTCACTTATTTGAGAACATTCGAGAAGCACTATCAATTTATATTATATATATAGTATACTACACGCTATAAAAAGAGTACAATAATTATATCGAAAATTGTTAAACTCTACAATTATTGGAATAGAATTCAGCGTTGAATTTGCCTCGATCCGGGACTGCAAAGAGTTCCGAACTTAAGTGTCTTCTATGACATCAGTGTGTATAAATTTTGGAAAACATTGCTCGAGAAAGTGAAAAATGTTTTAGGACCCACTCACAGTGATGATCTGGCTTATTTGTTCAACTTGCAATCCTGTAAACGCAAAGACGAGCCGGCGCCTGCAAGAGGCACTACAGACCGAGCCGTAATGGAGTGTTACACTACAATGTGGGCAAACTTCGCTAAAACTGGGTAAGTTGCTAAGTTACTAAATTACTAAGCCACTATGCTATTAAGTTATTAAGCTATTATGTTGCTAAGTTCCTAAGTGGCTAAGCTACTATGTTGCTAAGTTCCTAAGTTCCTAAGTTGCTAAGCTACTAAGCTACTAAGTTATTAAGTTACTAAGTTATAATAAATCATTAAAAATAAGCCATTAATTACTAAAAATAATAAATCCAATTAGTTTTTCACGATAATTCATAGAATGTCTATTTACTTAATCATTTTAAACGCAGAAACCCCACGCCAGTCCTCAATGACGTTGTCACTGTCGCTTGGGAGCCCGCGACAGAGGAGAAGTTTAATTGCTTAGAAATCAATGCACAATGCAAATTAGTAGAACTGCAGCCGCACATTCTCGATTCCATCTAAAAATTCGACGTTCCGTGTAGCGCACAAACAAAAAGTATCGTTATACTGTAAGAAAATAAAAATTGTATACTTGTATCGAAAATCCTTGAAAATAAGAAACACGTGGTTTGAGATGTGGAAATATATTTTGTATAAAATTTTTTATCTCTCGTTGTGATTGCACCTGTTCATTGTTCTGAATTTCCTACGGTTCAGCGGTTAAACGATCAAACTTTCAACAATATGATGTTTGAGTCGTTGAATTTCAATCTCCAAGTAAATATAGAGTATGAATGGTTGATTGTTTGTGCGTGTGATCTACGTCCTCGTGTGACTGGATGACGCTGGTATATTTCGAGAAGGATGAAAAGTTTTAAGAATTGGTTTTTCACTTTTCTTTATTAACCGAAATCTAACTCATTTGCATCTACGCTCTAATTGTGAACCTTACTCTACAAATCGGAGATGCTCAACTGAAAGTCTTTTAAGCTTTCGGTTGAAATTAATCTGCCTCGAGTCATATTACCGAGTAACGCATAGACGACTAAAAGTTAAAGGAGTGAAGAAAAAGGTTTTGGAAAAACAAGGGACATCACAGTACGACTAATGAGGGTACGTTTGTTTGTTTATTGCATTTTTTTTTATTCGTGTATAACTTATAATAATAATACATATAATCGGTTTCGTATTGTTCGCAAGAAAAACTAAAATGTGCAAATAGAAGTGAAGTAATAAGTACATTATTACACTGCTACGCTTGTGAATCGTCACTGACAGCTATTTACACGCATCGAAAAAAAGCCAAAGGACGCCTATGTCCGCGTTCACAATCAAATCGTTTTCCGAATATTCCCCTCGAAGTTACTGAAAACGTATCTACAAGAAATGTTAATCTTAGAATCGAACGTCCGCTCGTTTTTTTTAATTACGTTGCATCGTAACAAGAAAATTTCTGTCGAAAGATAAAACAAAAAAGGGAGAAAGAAACAGGTCAACGTGACATAAAAGTTTGACGATCGCGCGGAAACGATCGTTGTCGCGAAACGTCGTGTCTCAGGCTACCACGGGGCTGATAAAAATTATTAAATAAATATTTTCATTCCTCACGATCGTAGCGTTACTTAATCTAAAGCGCGAGTTCCCCTTAATCGCAACGGTGAAGTCGCATGGTAATAAGTTAACAAACGTTTGGTAACAACTTCGCGGCATAGAAAAGAACAAAAAGTGAAGGAAACAATGTTATCCATAATAATCTCGTTTAGTCGAATTTCAAACAGAAGACTAAAACGATGCTTCCTTCGCGTGTACGAATCATTTACGATTTAAAGCGACTAACTCCGCTCTTTGAACCTTTTTTTTTTAATTTTAATGTTAAAATACTTATTTAGTTCTTATAATATGATTCCATTACATTTTTTTTATTTTTCCTTTTGCGAAGTTAATCTCTTTGGCAAATGAATGCTCCGTACGTCGAAATAACTACCGATTAACGCTTGAGCTTCGCAATACTCGGATTTTTTGATTATTTGTTCCAGAATGCGAACGCTTTCTGTACCCTTTCGTTATGGGGCTTCGCGGCGGCGACTGGGACCGTGGAATACGCGCGTTGCGACACCTGACTTATGTTCGGAGCAGGTTTCGACGATGCCGCCTCCTTTTCGAACAGTTTCGCGGTGCGACTTACGTTTCCGGTCGGGACGAATTTACTTCGAATGCGACCGATTAGCAGCCTGGGGTCCTCAATTTCGCTGGCATCTGGAATTGCAGAAATATATATAACATCCTGCATGTTTTTATTGATGTTCCGTTTTTAAGGAGGAATACCATTTTCGTGATTTCAAGAAGTGTAGTGAAAACTAATACGCTGAAAGGATACTTTTTAAATGGTCAGAAAATTAGAAAGTTAGGTGTTAACCAGTTAACTGTGTTTGACGAGTAACGTCATCTTAACATTAAAACTACCAGACGGGCCAAATTGGCCTACCTCAGAATTGTTGTTTTGCAAGTATTTAAAGTATGAAGGCGTTTTATGAAAGATGTAGAAGTAGAGCGGTAACCGCCGCGCCGCGAATAGGCTAGAAAGATCGCGAACACGACAATAATAATACCGCGCGGCTAAACAGCTGATCCGGCGAAGCCGTTACCGACGAGCATGTTGACCCCGTATGTATGTGTGCACGTGTGTATGTATGAGTGATTGTTGACAAGCGAACGAACGGACACAATCCCAACGAACATCGAAACCTCGCGAAGGGTTCGAAATCGAAGCTTGAGAATGTTCGGGCGCCGCGTAAATATAAGGACGCGACCACGGCGCGGAAAGAGAGTTTACGAGTTACGAGTCACGAAGCAAGTACGAGTACGATTACGATATACGATTACGATTACGAAATACGATTACGGCTTACGATTTTCTAACTTTTTGGTTTGTGTATGCGTATTTGTAACTTTCGTGTACCTGTTCGTCTATTGTTCTTAATAAAGGGTTGGATTTAAAAATTCTAAACCTACAATTTGGGGCTCGTCCGGGATCTAGACAACGAACAAAGAACAGGCGACGGGTATTAACGGTGGTTATTTAAAACGTGTTTAACTGTTCGCGGCAAGATGGAAGAAAAAACCTTGCAAGACCTTACTACGGCGCGGTTGAAAGAGATCTTACGAGAGAAAGCTCTGTCTACGAGCGGTACAAAAAATGAGTTAGTCGCAAGACTGCTCGAACACGGTACCGAGGCAGACGATGTTTTCGGTGGAGGCGAAACATCGTACGGTGGCGATATCAAGATTATACCAACGCCCTGCGCTCCAGTCTAGACAACAGAAATGGAACTGATAAGGCTCCGACTAGAACTTTTGGAAAAAGAAAAGGAAATGGCGGTCCGGGAAGCAGAGCTGGCGAGGCGCGAGCTGGAATTGGCGCGTTTAGTTCAAGCCAACGATGGACAGCGGTCAACTAGAACGGAAGTCATAGGTACGACGCCTGAACCCTCCCCACCCCGCATGAGCATCACGGCTATCGCGGATCTCCTGAACTATTTCGATGGATCGGAAGGTTCGTTTGAAACTTGGACGAGGCAACTCCGACTTCTACGAGACGTCTACGGCTTGCGAGAGGATGCGTGTCGCATTCTCATTGTGTCGAGACTCCGAGGGAAGGCACCAGATTGGTTTCATTTCCGCTCTGAGCACATGGCAATGACGATCGAGAACTTTTTGGAGCAAATGGGCTCCATGTTCGACCAACGATCAAACCGATTGATGGCAAGACGACGGTTTGAGGAGGGGACATGGCACCGAGTGGTAACGATGAAAATTATATTAAAAGACGACGAACCGGTGTACCAACGGGCGAGACGGCTTGCTCCCTCTAAGAGAGAAGAGGTCAACTGGCAAATCGGAGAATGGATACGCGACGGCATTGTGCAACCCTCTCTGTCGGAGTATGCAAGAAGAAAGACGGTACTGCGCGCTTATGCGTTGATTATCGGCGACTGAACGCGAAGATAGTACGTGACCGATACCCGCTTCCACTAATCGAGGACCAATTAGATCTCTTGCGAGATGCCGTAGTATACAGTAAATTAGATTTGCGCAATGCATTTTTCCACGTAAAAGTAGAGCCCGAAAATAGAAAATACACGTCGTTCATAGTGCCCGACGGGCAATACGAATTTTTGAAAGTTCCGTTCGGTCTGTCCAATTCTCCCGCCGTTTTCCAGCGTTATGTGCATGCAGCGTTTAGGGATCTCGTGGCGCAGAAAATTGTGATCTTGTACGTTGACGACCTGATTGTTCCCGCGAAAGATTATGAAACCGGCGCGCGGCGTGTAAGGGGGCCGCCCTTAAACGGGCGGCTGAATTCGAATTGATGATAAATTGGGCGAAGTGCGAATTTCTCAAGACAAGCGTGGAGTACGTATTGTCCTAATTCTTATGAAAAATTGAAAATAAATCACTTTCATTGCTCGATAGTTTTGCTATTAAAGCTTCAAACGATACTACGTAGTATTCAAGCTTTAAGATGACGTTTATACTCGTCAAACACAGTTAATTAGTTAATTACTTCGTTCCTTTTTTGTAACATCAGATTCTTTGGAGTTTCAATATGGCATCCTCCCTCAAAACCAATCTATCATGTATATATATCAAAGAAGAAACATAAGTTAATTTGCCACCAAAAAAAACTGCACAGTGGACACACCTTCATGCCGATTATTCTCACGCGAAGCTTTAGTTACACCACTGAACGTCGTAGCGGCCGAGTCCCGAGCGTCTTCCGACACGTCGGCCATCTTGTCGGGGCGTTTGCGGCAGTCGAACTGTTCCGGCCGCTTTGAAACGTCTTTACCGTTATTGTTATCGTTGTCTTCTTCCTCTTTAATCGACGAAATACCTATTTCATTTACGTGTTGCAATGAAGCAGACAAATTCGAAATACAGTCACCAATTCCAGAGTCTCTAGAGTCACCCCTAAACACTCGTCTAGGCTTCTGCGAGCTCACATTGGCATCTTGCTCTGTTCTTTCCTTCGAATCTTTTTCTTCAAACATCGCTTCTTCCTGATCAATGCTTTGCTTTTCGAAATTCAACGTTGAACTCGTCTCGAAACTTTCGGGACTGTAGCTTTCATCTTCACCTTTCAATTTAGATACCAATTCTTCTCGAACGTTGCTATAATTCTTCGTTTCCTGGTCGAATTGCGTTGTACTTTCTAAATTACTACTCGAACTTTTCTCTTCGAAACGTATACTTTTCACTATTGAAGTGTCTTCTTTTATAATGATGGACTCTTCCATTTGGTACTCTGTGACGACGTCCATTCTATCTGCGACAGTTTCCGTCGAAGAAGGAACTAACTCGTCCGAGCGAACTCTGTCCGTTTGTTCCTCAGTTTTCTCAGTGGTGTCGGTTTCTCGGGCCTCTTCGGTCTCAGTTTTCCATGAACACGATCTCGCGAGGTCCCGCGTAGATTCGTTTTTCAAACAGGAGTCGTCAAGGTCTGACGACTCTTCCATTTTTAGAGAGGCGTCTAACGTTTCCTCTGGAAAGATGCTCACCTCCGTTTTGTAACAGAAGGAATACACGTTCCTCTTCGATGAATCCGAGTTTGTTTCGGATTTGTCCTCGACACTGTGCTTTTTTGGTTCGTCCGAGGATGTTTCGGAGCCTCTCGGAGACTTTATTGGATTCGACGAAGGTTCTGACGTGGGCGACGACTCGGCTGTCGTCGTTGGACTTCGTCTGTTATTCGCCGAAAGGATTGCCATTCTCCCCAGTGCACGAATGGCGTTTCCTGTTTTCTGCGGTAACAAACGAAAACGCACACGCACACACAAAATAATCAAACCCATGCTCGTGTTAGTGTTTCTGTAAAGATTGTTAGATTATCCAAGAAGTCTCCTTGTTTTGTTTGTAACCTGGCGTTAACACGTTTACCGCCACGAGAATTTTGAGAATGTTTACTTGTTCTTTCGTAACGAAGGCAAATGGTACTGGAATTGGTTATTAATGGTTTGGTACCATAGTTCTTAAGTTACATTTAGTTACTTGTGTTATGGAATATTTTGATTCGACAACAGTTTCCTTCATGTAATTGTCTTCAACCATTTTGGAATATCCTCCTAGCGGTCAACGTGTTAATGTATTTATATTTTTATCTACAGTAAACATTTTTCGAAGTAATTTAACAAAGCAATGATTAGGCAGAAACGAATTTCTTCTCTTAGAGTTTTAATAAGTCAATGGTATTTTTAAATTAGTCTTTTTTTCTAGTCTCAATACTTTAATTCCTAGACCATGAATTTCTTTCAAGATAGGCACAAGACTTTTTGGCCAACCCAATAGTTTCACATTTCCTAATGAAATTTCAAAATCTGAATTCTATATAATACAAATTTGACTATTGTTTATGAGAAAAACAACACTTCGTTCACCATGTAAAACTAAAGCAACAGTGAACACATCAAAAGCAACTAATTTTTTTGATATTCTTACCTGCCACTTTCTTCGTACAATGAATTTCTTTAATTTTTCTGTCGGCAAGGCTATTCTGCTCATAGCTTCCGTGTGTTGTGCCATCCAAGGATGTTCTAAACACTTTCTTGCCGACATTCGCAATCTAAAAGTCAGTCAATTTAATAATTACATGAATCTTCTTTAAAAAAGTGCAATTTCGAAACAAAATAAATAATATTGTCGTTCGTAAACTACGAGCTGAATGTGGTTGTACAATTATTAACGGGGCCAATAATATTTACAAATTATATAAAATGGTACTTTCAAATGAAAATAATATAAAATAGTACTTTCAAATAAAAATAATACAAAACGGTACTTTCAAATAAAAATAATATAAAACTACGACAATTAATTACGTACTCCTTTCGTTTGATAAGTAGACCGCTAATGAAGTCTTTAGCGTCGTTCGATATGGCGTCGAATGCTTCGTCTTCCAGGTCGTAGTCCGCTCGAATAATGTTGGCGAAGGTTTCGACGTTGTTGTCGCCCATGAACGGCGATAAACCGGTCAACCTGATGAATAGATTAATTCAATGATTTTTATTAACATTGATAAATTTCGTTCAACGCTCGATAAAATTATCTGCAGTGGACGAAATAGTACACCTTGAATGCGATTTTTTTACTGTTACTCTTAAAAATAAAGATTAGAAAAAGTTTTGTTTACCTTAACGCTTAGGTAACCACTTAAGAAGAACTATAATTAAAACCTTCTTCATTAACTCTAATTGATCTCATTCAATTGATTTGTTTAAAAATTTTGTTTCATAAAAGCAAGAAAACTATTCGATGAATTGCAAATAATCTTCAAAATTGATCAAACGACAAACGAGAAAATGAATGAAATAGAAGGCAATGCGTTGCTAAGTGAAAAGTGAGAGGATGTCCTCATTCGGCTGGCTAAGTGTTAATTTTAAAAAATAAAAGAAGTATGAAAATACCACATTGTTAATTAGATGTCTCAATAGTTTCTTCTTTATTCAGCGAACACTTACAGAACGTAGCAAATCACACCGACGCTCCACATATCCGATTCGGTACCAATCGGCTCGTAACTTATAATTTCCGGTGGAATGAATTCCGGCGTGCCGAATAGGACTCTGATCGGAGTGTCTGGCTTCAAAGTTTGCGCCAAACCAAAGTCGATTAGCTTTATTTGGTGGGAGGTCCGTGTTCTGCACATTATGTTCTCCGGCTGTGAATACAAATGAACAGTGTGAACAACAATGTTAAATAGTATGTGTAATCATACGTTATAACGTAACACATCATTTAATATTTTTATTCAATTTTTATGCTATTCCATTCTCTTGTTCTTCTCTAATGTTTTTGCATTAAAGGTGACACAATAGTGGATATTTAAGGAATGTAATATTTACCTTCAAATCCAGGTGGACTATTTTATTCTGATGCATATATTCAACACCCTCACAGATTTGCCTCATAAAAAGTATACTGTCCCTTTCGGTCAGTGTGAAGTCGTCGGCAACAACCCTTTCGAACAGTTCGCCACCGGAAATGCTGTGAAAGGGAATTACGAAATTTAAGTAACCTTGTAACTCTGTAATCTTAAATTTGTTAATAACTTTTAACAGAATTATTTATATTATTACATACATTATCAGTAATTTAAATTATTTAGAAGTTACATAATTCTTTTGGAATCACAAAAAAATTAGTGCAGAATCACAAAAAATTTCTGTTCGCAATTTCAAAATTAAGCGTGTAAGTATGGTTGCACCTAAATATTTATTCTAAACTTTTCTGAATTCTTACTATTCCGTGATCATAATGGTCTCTCGAGGATTCTCGAACGCAGCAGCGAGAAGAAGAAGCTTCGGATGCCTCAACATGTTCATAATTCGAATCTCTTCCCGAACCTGTTCTCGATCTTTCGTCTTTATGGTCCTGACAAATTTCGCTGCGAAGCTCGTTCCGGAGGATTTCTCGATCACCCTCCTCACTGTTCCGTATCGACCTTTGCCAAGTTCCTCTAACACTTCGTATCGATCGGCAAAAAGGGGTCCATCTTCCATCTCAACCACTCGGGCTGTGAAAGGTGGATCGAATTCTTTCGAAAAGATATTATGGTTAATATTAAACATACAATTATTAAGAAACTTGGTTAATAGTAACAGCCATTTCTTAAGATGAACGAATTTGTACCTTGATAACGAAAAATGAACAGACATAATGAAAAATTTGCAATCATATTATTAATTCAATTATCTATAAAACAAAAAGTAAAAATGAAACCAAAGAACTAGTGAAAATCCTGTGATTTCTTATTTAAAAATAAATGACTTCACTACGATTGATAATGAAAAATAACTCGTCATTTTTTAAATATTTTTGTAACAATACAAATCCATAAAAGTACACGTTAAAAGTTCAAGTATACGTTCTAAAAATTCTTTAAATCAAGAATGCAAGAATAGTCTAACAAGATTTTTCTATCTGACAGCAACGACGATCGAAATAATAATTTCTATCTAATTGATATTTCATTAATTAATCTAGGAACTCGAAATTTTGTATGAGAATCCACAGTTTGCTTGTAAAGGACCCAAAGTTTTCCTTTTTCCTCACCTTCTTCGTCGTCGTATAGTTGCCTTTCGCCTTCCATCGGGATTCTGACGAACTCAGATTCGTTACCTGGTTCGCTGACCCCGTGGATATTCTCCGCTCGAACGCGAAATCGATATCTCTCGCCGGGAACCGCAGTGTCCTTCCCGGGTACCGTGTGACTCAGCGAGTGACAGGACTCGGTGATGGTCGTCCACGTGTTTTCCCCGGCGCGGTTAATTTCTACGGTATAACCAGTGACTGTGCAACCTCCGTCGTACGGTGACGATCGCCAATTAATGGTAGTTGTTCCCGGAGAACAGCACACGCTGGGAACACCCGCTGGTGGGTCTGGTGGTCCTATGAATTTGAACAGATTGATTTTTTTTATAGGTGTATCAATAATGTTCACATTTATTGAAGTTGAGAAGAATTTTAGATTGTTTCTAGTTTAAGATAAAAATGGTAATGTAAATTCTGTAAGTTTGAATAAATTGGTTTTTGATAGGTGTATCGCTGGTGCTCAGGTTTATTGAATTTGACAAGAATTTTAGATCTTTTTCGGTTGAAGATAAAATTGGTGATGTAGATTCTGTAAATTTGGATAAACTGATTTTTGATAGGTGTATCGAAGATATTCACGGTTTTCGAAATTGAGAATTTAAATTGTGCTTGATTGAAAATGAGAATGGTAAAGTAAATCCTACAAATTATTATAAATTAATGTTTGGTACATGTATTGAAGATGTTAACAATTTCCGAAGTTGAGCAAAATTGAAGAGTTCTTGTAGAAAACATTATAAGTTCTAAAATTGGAAAATTTTGTTGTTTTTTACTGAAAAATATTGTACGTGTTAATGGAATAGACAAGCATCACTGCTTATTAAACCTGTCAAAATAGAAAATGAGAAGAACGCGAATAAGAAAGATATATTGTAAGTTCAAATATATTGCTTCGATGTGGACAAATTCAAAACCACAATTATTTTTGCACCAACAAAATATAATTCCTCAACTGTTTTTAATCAACACAAAAGGATTAGAATAAAACTGTTCTCACAAATCCACGAGTAAATTAAAACGGTTCATCAAGGAACTTTCTTCTAATGACCCTAGTCACTGACTGAGTTTAAAAGAAATGGAGCAGATGGTGCCGTTACGTTGTTGTGTTAATCCTGGTGGCGGTCAGTTTTTCTGAACTCTGGCAATGAATGCTTCAAGGGCGTAGTGTTCCACGGACGAGTTAAAATTGTAAACAAAGTGCTGCCAATGAACCGTCTGCTGACAACCATAGTTATCGATGTTTCGATATTTATCACAAACATGTATCGCTGGTAACAAACATTGTAACCTATTGTTGACAGATGAATACATAACAATTTATAATTAACATGTACTGTTAAAATGGCTTTACTTTCAAAACACTTCTCGAAATTAAGCATTTAACATGGCACAAATTAAATATATATAAACCATCAGTAATTTAAAAGTCTTTAACACAAACGAGTAAATTTACTAGCTGATTTGATAAATAACTTAATAATATTTAACACAAACAAAAAAGTCTACCAGTTGATTTGATAAGTAATTTAAAAATATTTAACACAGACAAATACATGGCAACTAGGTGAGCAACAAAATATCTGGTCAGCAATACGTTAAGACGACCGCTGTCTCTAAGGAGCTGCTACTTCAGTTAATTTCTCGCCGGGACAGATTCGATTTAAACGCGACACGAGGATTGAATTACCCATCTTCGATGCCAATTGACTTTATTTCCTGCTTCGGAATGCACTGCACGGGACACTGAACGCGTCGGTAACGTTAGATGTCGAATAAAATCGAAAACGAAAGGATCTCGCCGGTAAGGATCGTCATTTTCAATGAAATATTAGTTTCTGTCGGATTCCGCACGCGTTTCTTCGCCACTGCTTTGCTGTTTGGTCCCGATGAAAGAGGAAGAGGACGTCGACGACGACGTTGCTGGTGGGGGGTGGCAGAAGACACACGGGAAGGAGGAATTATTGCGCGATATACGTCACGTGAGATTGTCGCCAGCCTTGTACATAAGAAGAGGAACTGGACCGTATGACACGCGCTTACACACGTGGAACAATGGGTGTCTCGTTCCGAATCGCGGATACCGGGGGACGCGAGATGGAGACGGGATAAATCGTGGTATTGAAAGAAACTGTAAGTGTTTCTTATTTTTTGGACACGTATCATTCATTCGTTAAAGTGAAAAATAGAAAAATTTCATGGAATTAAGTATATAAAAGACCAATTAAATGTTTCAGTATCAAAATTTAAATGTTTAGGTGGAAATGTTTAACTGGAGTAGATCAATTTGGTTTTTGAACGATTCATGGAACGGCTTTTCCAGTAGTTCTTTCATGAATGGATTATCATTCGAAAAATCTTACGATCAATATTATAATCCCATAAATTCTATAATTTACAAAGCACTAACGTTAAAAGTTCTGATCAGAACATATTTTTGCTTATATTACAATCTTTTCGTTCAAATGAAATTACTCTTTTCCTACCATGAGAACCAAGTGAAATGTCTAAAGTGTTCCAGTTAGAAAATGTTGCATGCCGCTTGGAAAGAACAGCTAGTTGGGTTGTCAAGAATTTTTGATATCACGGACTATTTTTAGTTTCATACATCTCACATGAAGGAGTACAGATGTTCGTTTCCCGCCGCGTGTTCACCAATGTAGGTGCTATCGAGGCGAGAGTTTAAAGACGGTTTGTTTCGTGGCTCTGTAAACAGTAATCGGTCCGCAGTGTTCGTTGCTCGTATCTGTGTGAATTGTTTGTACGAGTGCTGGCTCTACTTGAGACATTTACATAATGGGTATCTAGAGAATCGTTTATTCCGAATACATAGAGAGATTAATCGAGCCCACTGTTAGATTCGTTGGAATTAATTGGCCTTGTGAGAAATAGCTACTTCCCTACTTTATTTCTTGTTGCTATAATCAAAATTCTTCAATGGGTTAAGTAGGAATTAACATTCTCGATTGAAAATATTCTTTGGTTTAAAAACGATTGAATAAAATTACGGTGAGTTTCCTAGTCGTTCATTCTATATACGTATAAATATATAATATTCATAATTTAATAATAATAACAATTATATGATTGTTTAGAAGTTTGTATAATACGTAAGAGTAGTAGAATGAAAATGTTTAAAGACAGCATGCTGCGTTAGTAGCTTATTAGCTCCGTGAGTTTTAATCGTCTTTTATTTTGTCGTATCAGGTAAATTGTTATTTAATTGTTATGTATGCTATCATACCGTCTAAATTGCATTGTTCTCTAATATTTGTAAGGTAATTAACGTCTATTGGTATTTAATACTTTTATTTGATACATACCTTCTACGGCGACGCTGAAGCACCGCCGGTCATTACCCAAATGATTTTCTACTGACACCTCGTACTTTCCAGCGTTATCAGCGGTGACGTCGTCTGATATTAAGCAAGACACACCTCCGCCACAGGTGATCGCAGTTTTCTTGTCTGCAGCCAGCTCTCGTCCCTTTGACAGAAATATATTTTTGTTTATTATCTTTTTGTTCAACACGATTAAATCGTTTATATAAATTGAAACATAGAATAAAATTTTCTTTATTTTCCTGCGTTAAATTTATCATAAAAATTAGAAGGAAATAGTGATCCAGAGAAATTATAGAAAATAATAATACTACTAATAATATATTAACCCTTTGCATTTGAGAAGTGACTCTCAGTCACTATTTCATTTGACATACCAAAATAAAGTCTTACACACAATATTAAACTTCGTATAATCCATAAATATGTGAAATAATGAAATAATGAAATAATAACTTTTATAACTTATGTATGTTCTCTCATTCCGTTCGTTTCAAAGAAAACCTGCATATGCGTCGCGGCGTCGACAATTATTTAGTGATGTTTAAACGACGCTGAGGAATTTGTCGTTGAAGTCCTATCGAGTGTGTGTAAGTAGACTATAGTTTTTGTATAAAGACTGAAGTTGATTGTTCTACTGAGTATTGTGAAGTGTCGAAGTGTCTTCTGGTCTCCGATCGCAACACCTCGAAGTCGGGTCGAGTACGCTGATTGGTTTTTTAACCAGTCCCTTTCCGAACGGGGGTGAGGGCAATGTCCATGTATGGGGGTTTTCTTGAAGGTTTAATGGGTCGCGGAAATTTCCTTCAGGTTGATTCATAACTGTAAGTATCGTTATGCACAAATTCCGGAAATTCCGAGTTTATGACCTGGTCGGTTATTAAGGCAGCGGTTTCCAACCTGACAAGCGCGGCCTATTGCCAGGATAGGCGCAAAAAGTTTTAATAAAAAATTAATGTTTATGCCATAATATCTACAAATATCTTCATATCGTAACGTAACAGTACAAATTCAGTGAAGTAATGTTTATTTTGTAATAAAGTTATTATTATTTAAAACGTATCTATATTATTATATTTATTAAAAGATAGGGAGGCGCGGAAAAAAATTTTTTTAGGGAGGCGTAGTAGCATAAAGGTTGGAAACCGCTGCCTTAAGACGAACGAAACGAAATTCTAAAGCTATTGTATAGAAATTCAAAATGACTAAAATAAAAATATTAACGAAAAATAAACACGAAAATAAACTGTCTGTCCCGTTCATGTCATAAACTAAACTTCGAGAATCTTTAATCATGGTGTTCCGTATCAGACGGAACAATATCTATAACTCGTTAGAAAATCTTGAATATTTTTAGTGAAAGACTTCCAAGTGCAAAGGATTAATAATAACAAAGAGAAAACATAAAAGAAATAGAAAATAAGTAATAATTCAAAATTCTCAATTTCAAAAATTGAAGTCAAACGATAATTACCGCTCGGAGCCATTTAACCCGGGGTTCCGGGTGACCCCGATAGCTGACCCTGAGCACCACCCTATTCCCCCTGAACACCGTGACGTCAGCTGGCACCTTCAAAATGGCGGCCGGAATAAGTTCGTTCGTCGCTTCGAGTTTCCTCTCTTTTATTTCGATCTCATCGTTACTCTTCGAAACGGAAGCTTCTTCCGGTTCCGCCGAAGTCAAATCACAATCCATGCATATTATAGGCGTGTCATCGTAGTTCCCACAGTTGTCTCGAGTTTCTTTCAAACTATTTTCAGTCTTACACGCGTCAGGACTATCCGACGTCGGTGTCTTCAAACATTTGTCCTCATTCTCCACTAAATTGTCCTTAATAATTTCATTTGTCGTTTTCAAAGACGATTGTTCCTTCTTTGGGTTCACTTCTTCCTTGTTCAAAGACAAAACCTTCTTGTCTTTCTCTTCGGTTCTCTTAGGCTCCCTCGAGTCCTTGACCAAACGAGCCACGTTGTCTTTTGTCTTTTTGGAATCGAGATCTTTTTTGTTAATCGGTTTCTTTTCGATTAATTTTCTTTGGCCGAGCAATGGACTCGGAGGAACGTTTCTTTTCGCGGGCGAAGGAGACTGTCGTTTCACATCAACGGATTTCAACGGCAACGAGGACGATCTGGCGCGCATCGGCGGCTCGTGTCGATGATTCCTGGGCGAAGGAGGAAAGTCTCTTGCCGTTCTTCTCGCGGAATTGCTGCGCATGCAATTTGTACCTTTCTTAGCTTTTGTCTCCGGGTATATGGAGTTGCGGGTTGACGAAGGATCATCGAGGCCGTGATGCGATCGCTTCAATTGCAATTCCGCCGTGCAACTGATCGATGGTCCATTCCCAGCAACGGATGCTGTGCATCGAATTTCGCCGGTGTCTTGGGTTGACACGTTGTGTACTCGGAGGATGCTCACGTTATCATTTTTTTCAATCTATTATAAATAGAAATAAAATAATGATGGAACACGATGAAGGAACACAAGCAAGGATTGAACATCAAAGGATATGAACCGATTTTGTTACGTTATTTTCCTTTTCTAGGTGGTGCTTTTATTGTAACGAGTGATTAAATATTGTAAATAAATATTATAAATGCATTGAATTGTATAAATAAATATTGTAAATAAAAAGTTAGAAATAAATGTTGGAAATAAATCGAAAATGGTACAACGTTATCGAATAAAATGCACACCGTGTAGTTTAACAAAATTGAATTTTCTAAAGTAAAGTTTGATTTGTCTTCAAGGCTTAACTACAGATTTAAATATGTTTGCCACATGAATTAAACTTACCTTGCACCTTGAATTGTCTTTAATGTTTTTTCCATTGATGGTCCACGTGATTTCCATGGGCTTCCCGCACTGTATCCGCGCGCAGAAACACGCGGTTTCCCCTTTCGATGCCAAAACGGATACCGGAGTTTTCGTGAACTGCGGCGCTAGTTTCGGAACACCTTTGTAATCTATTCATAAGCATAGAATGCATAATTATCTGTCTTTATGTAAATGAATTCTTTTTACCTGAGCAAAAATAAAAGCGATATACGTATGGTGAAGTAAAACATTATGACAATGGAATATCAGTTAATTGCTGTACTAAACTTGATGTAATTAAGAAAACTTTTTTCACCTTGAACAGCAAAGAGGCCGTTGCAAGAAGTCTCCCCAAATCCGTTGCGAACGAGACAAGTGTATTCCCCAGCATCCTGTGGAGACACGTTTGACAATCGAAGAGCGACTCCACTGTCACCGTATATGACGTATTTGTAATAATCGTTGTCGGGTATTTCGCGGCCGTCTTTTAACCAAACAACCGTGAAGGGTGGAGTACCTAATAACACAATTTAATTCACATTAACTGTAGATTCTATTTGTATTAATAATTTGTATTATATATAGAAAATACAAGTTAAATTTTAAATAATCCTTTCAAACGATTTAAAAGAAAATGTTAAAAACATGATAAAAATTTATTTTTAAAAATTTTTAGTTCACCATACCTGTGAGTCTCGTTTGAAGCTCATAGCAATGACCCTCCATGACGATCGATTCTTCGGAGAGCGATTGCACGAACGCCGGCGGGTCTTTGTCAGAAGTGGACGGATCATGTGGATCGAGAACGGTAACCTGAAGCAACGAATCAAACCAGTGATACATGGCACAGTTATTCCTTGAAAAATAAGGGCAAGGTTCCAGATTATGACTAGGATGTTCACCTGACACGTATTCTTGCTGGAACCAAGGACGTTCGTTGCAACGCAGGTATATTCACCCGCGTCGCTCGCTTTCACCTTTGAAATTTCGATCCTCGCGGTTTTGCCGTCAAAGTATCTTTTTATCCTGCTCGACCGTTCCAACGGTCGTCCATTTCTAAAGCATAATGTATTTACCATTACTTCTTTGAAAAATGTAAATAACTTTATTTCTTAATTGAAAAATAAAAATAATTTTACTTTCCATTCGAAAAATAAAAATTGTATTGCTTCTTTGAAATATAAAAATAATTTTATTTCTGATTTGAAGAATAAAAATAATTATATTCTTTATTTGAAAAATGTAAATAATTTTATTTCTTAATCGAAAAATGAAAATTATTTTACTTCTTATTTGAAAGATAAAATTTTATTTCTTATTTGAAAAATGGAAACTTTATTTATTTTTCATTCGATAGAGATCAGAATATTTCGAATATTATGGAGAAAATGTTTAAAGCAACGTATCTTCTGTTATTCGTTTCTGCAAATGTTTCTGGAAATCTACGTTTCCATGAATTGCGAAAAACAAGAAATTTGCATAAACGACCATATAAGCGTATCACTTGCGCATTACCTGAACCACGTTGGCGTTGGACTGGGCGTTCCCCTAATGCTGCAATGGAGTTGCAGTCGACTATTAATTCTGGTTGTTGAGTCGAGGAGACTTCGTCCGAATGATGGATACGTCCTCGGTGAGGCGCTTCTGGTTCTAATCATTCGGGAAACCGGTCCAAGCAGTTGGCGATCTTTTAAAATGAAGTCGCATTAAAAGCATTTGGAGAAGAGTGAACTAATTTTTAAGTTATTTTCAAATGATGCATTATCTGTTATTTTTCTATCAAAGCAAAGATGTTTAATTAGTGACTGAAATTGGTAAATTATAATTCTTCTAATAGCAAACATCAGAAATATGATTATTCGAAAAATTTGAATAAAGTAATGGAGTTCAATAGATATTTAATTAATTTTAATTTTTAAATTAAATAAAGTAGAAGATATGGGTATTCGAGAAGTGTTAATGGAATTGATAAGACATTTACATACTTATCACTTCTAAACGAGCACTAGCCTCGATACGGCCATAATCGTTCTCCACAGTCACCCTGTATAATCCCGCGTCTTCTTGGGTGACTTCGACGATTTCCAATATTTTCACGTCGTCCCGTTCCTTCACGGAGATCCTTGCGGTAGGTGTAACGGCTAAGCCATTTTTGTCCCATTTTACCCACGGTGTGGGATGGCCGACCACAGCGCACTGGAATCGCACGGTTTCACCTTCCTCTACCACCCGGTTGTGCGGGACTGCATAAAATTTCGGTGGACAGATCTTCGGTCGTCTCGATGTCGATCTACCTCGCGGCAACAATTGCGGGGATCTTAGTTCTCGGCCATCTGCGGGAAATTGAAAAGATTCAGACCAATTAAAAATTGTTTAATTAAAATTGAAAGAGTTTGGAAGATTGTAAGTTTGAAAGTCCGAAAATTTGAAAATTTATTTTTCATGCATGTATATATGCTTACGCGAAACTGCCGGAGATAAGCTTCTGATCGGCGTTGATCGCGGTGTCGATCTCGGCGTTGATCCTGCTGACAATAGACCTGCAGGTCTGGTCAATCTTTGGCTTAAAACATTTTCTTTCCCTTCGGGAACTGAAAAAACCATAGGACGATAAATTAAACAAAATCCATGCATGACACTATTAACACTAGAACTACTAACAACAATCAAACCGATCAATTATTACATTTTTACAAAACCATTTATAAGATGAAAGTGTATAATCAAGATTTCGATTAAATTTGTTACTCTATTACATCACTTAAAAATTTCTCATAAAAACAGTTGTATGTTTCGAACAATTATAACAGAAGAAATCAAGAATTAATCAGTTTGACCAATCTGGTAATTCCAGTGTAAAACAGATGTTTCTCGTTTCCTGTCGATTAGGTGTGAGTGTAGGCAGAGATCAGGTTCCTTATCACGAAATATTTAATCACATTACTGGAATGGGTGTAACCGAGAAATAATTTGCATCGAATATACAGGTGGTAGCAGAAAAACATCCGGAGCGAAGGTTTCAGCTGTCAACACGTTGTTTTCCCCGTAATCTATTTCGCTGTACGAGGTGGACATAATTTATATCGAAAATTACCATCCACTACTAGGCACGCCGACGTGAATGCTTTTCCGAGGTCGTTGTAGGCCACGCAGGTGTACTCGCCCTCGTCCTCCGGGTAAACGTGTTGGATGTTCAAACGGGCGGTCTCCCCGTCGAATTCCGAGGAGAAGTCGCCACTCATAGGAATAATCTATGTACAACACATTGGAGAATGCCGACATTTTATAAAAATTTGATTTTATACATGAATTTTATAAGAAAATATTAGATAAAACGTAATCCCAGCATTTGAGGAAGAACGTTGTCACATTGACAATATCAAGCTTTCATATTTAGGGTAAAAAGCTGCAAGCTAATAATTCAACTACTCAAACATTTTCTTTTAATAACTAAGAGTTCGATATATATTATACTTTCGCTTCCTTTGGCAAAGGTTCTGAATATTGTACAAATTTTCATTCGTAAAGAGTTAGGGTACTCCCAGAAGTATTAGAGATCCAGTACTTTTCTAGTAATTAATTGCAATGTAAATTGCTATTATTATTTTTCATTTATTTAAATGAAAGCAATGTGAATACGCTTTTCTCTTAATACCTAAGGTCTCAATGAAATGTAATATTTTAAAGAAACTGATAATAATAAACGTTTAAACACAGACGAAATGTTTAGTTGAAATTGTGCACGGTAAATAAGTCGCAAATTCCAACGAATCAAAAGTAACGATTATCCTGAAAAATTCCATGAAAATGTCTCGCAGCGCTCACCTTTCCTGCGCGTTCCCAGCGCACCAGTGCCTCGGGTGTGGCGTGAACTTTACACTCAAGGGCGACAGCGTCGCCATCGCAGCACCTTAGGTCCCGCAGTTCTCTTGTGACCTCCGGCAATGTTAGCACTTTTCTGTACACCGAAACCAATAAACAATTTGAAAAACAAGATCTACATGGCAAAAGATAAACAGCTATTTATTTATAAGTAAACCATGAGCATACCCATGAGTGACCCCCGATTTCTTCATCTTTTCTTCTTTACCTTGACCTGAAAATATTAATTGTTCCTTCGTCTAATTAAACTGTCGAATACTAGATCGACGGAAATTAAACGGCTGATGCATGTGTACAAAACGTTGTAATTTAGATTTAATTTATTCGTATTTGGCACAAATCAAAGATATATAAGTTTCTATAAAAAATATAACAAAATAACAAAGGTTGATTTTATATTGTAAAGACTAGCTCCTTAATGTTCTTTTTTTGTTATTTTCACTGTTTTTTTTATTGCGAGGGTTTGTAATTTGTGTTACTGTTGTTTTATTTAGATTATAGTATGTTGTCGACGACTTTTTATGAGAAATCGAGGACGACTCACCTTTCGCGTAGATCTGTAAAGAAATCACAGCCTTAGCATCCCCATGGCAGTTACGCGCTATCACGGAATACGTTCCCGTAAAATCGAGTTTCGCATAGGGTATCTCGAGCCGATACTGAGGTCCTTCGCCGACCAGCCGGAAGTGAGGCGCGTCCCGGTAGTAATCAGGCTGTGAACGAATATATTTTATAATATACGTAAATATTTTGAAAGAGAATGAATAAACGTATTATTTTTCTAAATGTGGTCCATTTTTTTGAAGCCAAAGAGAAAATAGTATAAATAAATAAATAAATTTGTCGAGAAGTAATAGATAGATAAATAGATAAGGTAATTGATTCGTCGAGAAATACTTTTAGAATATTATTCTTCAATAATTTAAGTTATTAATAATTGATATTACTAATAATTAAAATTACTAAAAACTGATATTACCACTATGTAGTTAAAATGACTAATAATTGGTATTACTAGCAATTAGAACTACTAACAATCGATATTACTAATAATAAAAATTACTAATTATTGAAATAACCAATAATCAAACCACTGACACTATAAACAAACAATTAAAATAAACACTAAATAAAACAAAAAAACAAAGAGCCTCAATCTTTTTCCTTTAGTAACAAAAACGTTCTCAACAGTCTTACATAATTATTTTTCAATTCAACACCATGCCTTTTAAAAATCATGTAACTTTTATGTTACAGCATCGAATATTACATCAAAAGGTCACGAGACTGTTGTCCTCGTACGCAATCAATCTTCTCGTTTACCCGTATAGCAACGAATATAAAGCAACTCGAGTTTTGCGATCAGGATAGACAAACGAAACAGTGTCGAAAACTGGATCAGACGTGACATCACGAATAGGGTAAGTCGGGGAGAGATGGCCTACTTTTCTTTAACAGAACTTCGTATCGTAAATATTACTAACCAGTTAGCTGTTTTTGACGAGCATACTCGTCATGAAGAAATGGCAAGATTTTGTGTTATGACGATCATACACGTCAAAAACAGTTGTAACATAAGGGAAAGTACGGTAAAACGGAACACTGGTGTAAAATCATTTAAAAATACAAAATCTTTATTTCTACTAAATCAAAATTGCTAGCTGGGTATATTTAATTGTCAGCTGATATAAATAAACTATAAACACATATGATTATATATTATCATATTACCTATTGCATATTATATATTATAAATATATAAATATAGGTGATATTCGTACCATTTTTGCAATGTAGATATCTCAATACCTTTAGAAAATCGTATTTTTATTACTCCAGATACTTCGTTATTACGATTAGAAAAAAGCGTTCCATTTTACCTTACTTTTCCTTACTTTTAACAAAAAGAAAATATGTTTACAAAATCAGATACAAATAAATAGAATAATTAAACAGGCCTCTGTGCAATATTCAGTATACCACTAAACACAATTGAAAGTATAGATATTTGTCCATGTAAACGAGGTCGGGCCATCTAACCTTTTTAAGGCCATTTCACCTGAAATTACCCTACATTTTTCAGCAAGTTTCTTTTCTCGTTTCAGCGTTACCGTGGTTGGATCGTCGCTTTTTATCGAGAATTCGAAGCGGGGGCCCATATATTGCGTGCACGCGCTAACTTTTCTCGCTGACAACAATAACACGAGGTAACCCGAGTTGCTCGCTCCCGTCAAAAGCCGCGAGCAAGACCCAGCTAAGGCCACCGAGGTGAAAAGTGAAACACACCGGCGAAGTTTAAAGTCTCGAATCGTTTACCCCGCTAACGGGAGCTGATCTCTCGAACCACGACCTCGACCCGAATACTATTTCCGTGACTCTCACGCCCACATCGAGGTCATCGTTTCCGATCCAACAATAATACCCCCATTATTCTCGATCACTTTCGATTCAATCTGCTCCGTACGAAAGTCTCGCAAACTCTTTCTCATCGGTTTCGAGATTAGAATCGGCTCGTCCCGTGAATCTGCATAGAATTTATCGAAAATAATTTTGTCAGGATGAAACTTCGTAAAGAACAAAAAAGAACATTCTTACGGATGGCTTCTTAATCTTTAAATTAATCCTAGTATGTTTAGATATTTTTCGAGTTAATTTAGATATTCTTAGATATTTTTACCTTTTTAGCATCAATATATAATATATGAACTTCAGACTTTTCATACTATGAAATAGTAAAGATAATGTCTTTTGAATTTAGAAATATATAGAAGAAAATTTTTACTAACACTCCCATTTTTCTAAGTTATATATACTATTTTCAATGTTATTATTGAGAAGGTTGTTTATACTGTTTCTTATTGATTAACACTAAAATTACCGAGCAGATAAATTGACTTTCTGATCTAATAGGTCGTTTTGACCCGTCTGGTAGCTTTAGTGATAAGTACCCATTTAAGTATTTTCGGAATGAGACGTTCCAAATAATACATGATTAGTAGGCGAAAATTGTAAAAAGAATTCGTAGTGCAAAGGGTTAATGGGTGGTAGTCGCTGAAGAACAATGAATTTAAATCAAGGATGGGGTTAAAGCTGAGCTTGAGGTGGTCTAGACAGGCAGAGAGAGGTGACGAGACAAGGAAGGACAGTGATAAAAGTGAGATGAGAAACGTCTTCGACGGGGCTCTAGTCCATATAGGGAGCGAAAGTTGAACAGATCGCTTCAGACTGATCTCGTTGTTCGTATGACACGAGTGCGAACGCATATTACTGTTTTTTCTTTTTTTTCATTAGTAATTTCATCTCTCCCCGCCAGACACGCCTTCGTTAAACCCTCGGCAATTAAGGTCACCGGGAAGAAAGGCTTGGTTGTTCATTGAATATTGGTCCCTTGGATCACTTAATTAATTCTAGTCAATCGTGTCGACCATGATACCGTGAACACCGTAACTCTTGCATGTACTGTCGTTAAATGACTATTCTAAGTGGCAATGCTAGGACCGATCTCAGAATTGTCATTTTATAATTATTGAAGCTGATAAAGCACTTTTGGGAAATTATGAAGTATCTTGGTGTATCCCTGCAAGTATGACGATAAGTATACTAGTTTTGAGAAATGCATTCTTCTGATTTTCATGAGGATCTGTAAACTAGTCACTTTGTTCTACTGTTAGAAGATACTGAAATGACTGAACATAGATTTAACACACAAAGAGATTTATCTTTTAATAATCTGTTGTTAAAATAATGATACATTGTCTTTATGTTAGCAGAAAAGAAGAAGGATCAGAATAGTAATATACAATTCAGAGCAAACGTCCGTTGATATTTTTTATTTTAGAATTTGGTCGTTTTAGTATAATCAGTTCTGTGGATCTAACGGAGTAGATTTTGTCATTCTTTTGATTATTAAACCCTCGTTCAATATGATTTTAACGTTACATCACTGAGACGATATATTTATGAAAAGATGAACGAAGAAAATTATTAAGAATTAACAATGGTGGTTATCTTTGAATTCTGTGAATTAAAACTGTAATAGATCGATTAAAAAGAAAAATGAAACAAACGGATCTCTATGGGTTACGATGCAAATAAAACAAGATAATGCACGATTCACTACGTCTCAAGATTGTATAGATTAAATAAAAGATAAAATAAAACTGATTTATTATTTTAATATAAAACGGATGAAAATGACTTATAGTTAGACATCAATCGGTATCAGCGTGATGATAGCGGAATAAAGTTTTCAGGATCTCTAATGTTCAGAGCTGATTCGTGACATAATGGACCTTCTGAGACCCATTTGTCTTTCACCTGTCACGATACAGAATCTGTTTCGCCTACGATGAAATTTATGCGGACGACACTTCCCGTTACGGATGAGAAGCGCCATAAACCGAAGCAAAGCCGGCTCCCGCAAGGACTCCTCGCAATGTCATCGTATATCGATCTATATTTACCGGCGTGGAACAGATTGATCGGGCAAAAAAGCCTGTTAAACGTAACGTTCGCAGCGAATACGCCGCTTCGAGAAAAACTTGCAGTGATATCTTGTTTTCGTTCGAAATGATTTATTCCGTTTTTTCTAGAGCGATCTAGAATTCCGGAAAATAGAGTAAGGATTATGATTCATGGAGGAAACGACTGCTGTACGTAGCAGCATTGAAATGGAATTATTAATTTATTAGTTGTAAGCGTTCCTCCTATTGTACGAATGTTTGTCCTTGCTATGATTTATCTAATGAAAATGTCCAGAATTATCATTATGTAATACCTAATTTCACTTTTCAATCTTGCGTTTTCAATGAGAAGGAAATAATCTATTTACTGTTTTTAACTTATAAGTTGTAAGTGTCTTCTTCATCATTTCTTTACTATGCAAACACTGTCGTCTATCATTGCATTCCTTGGTCCATCATATTACAAAATTAGCAATCATATTATGCAATATCTATTTTCATTTAACAATTTTTTATTTATAATTGATAGCTACCTATTTTGAATTAAAAGTAATCATTTTTCTTGCTTGTAATTGAAAACAATTATTTCTCCTTGTCATTAATCAAAAGTAATCATTTTTCCATGGTATTAATTAAAAGTAATCATTTTCCCTTTCTTTTTATTAAAAATAAACACGTTTCCGTGCTTTTAACAAAAAATATTCATATTCTCTTCTTTTATGTAAAAAGTAATCGGTTTTCCTTGCCCTTAATTGAAAGTAATCAGCTTTCGAAGGGTATTCGCCGAACATGCGTCGGAGGGGGAGGGTCGACATCGGAATGATCCAGAGTTTTCGTTTAGCGGGTGTCCCTGTCGCGAAATCAGCACGCGCTTTTCCTCATTTAGTAGCTGCAGCTGCGTGAAAACAAAGTTGGACGTATTTGGCAGCTCGGTCGGCTACACGTCTATGGCGGCGACGCGACGCGACGCGCCGTCGCGTCTCCTCTGATCGATGGGGCTGAACGAGAGAGGAAACTCGGACTCGGCCAACTTTACGGCGAACAGACGCCGACATTAGCGTGTAAGCATCGGCCACTTCGATGAACGCCCTAACGAGCACCGTAGAGATCGCAACGGTGACTCATATTGCGGAGATCACAGCTTCGAGATCTCGGATCTCGATTGAACGATCGATGATAGATCAATACTGCCTCTTGTACGGTTTATTGCGCAACGCCCAAAATCATGGTAACGCTGGGTTCAATTTTAT